AGTGCTTATGTGTGTCACCACATGCCAGTGTGTTGACGGGCATGTTGATGATGTGTGTATTTCTGTGTCTGTCTGTAAGGTGGATACCTGTGTGCTGAGTTTTTTGGGAGTACCATCTTGAGAATGATTTGAGTGACTTTTAACCTCTTAGGCCCTGAGACAGCCTCTAGTATGTCCTCCTTGGTAGGTCACTGATTGAGGAACTGGACAAGGAATCCCTAAGGGAACCAAACATCTGATGGTATCTCTCCTACAGCTGTTTTTGTATCAGCCCTCTGACCTCAGGGAGGTACTCTCCCCACCTCTTGTCCTCACCCGAGCCCACAGGGAGAGATGGCAACATGTGCAAGATGGAGGAAGGCTTAGGGGAGGTTTTGCAAGTCACTTGTATATGAGCATTGTCTTTCATTCTGACCAAGGGAGTGGAGTTTGTCCCTGGAGATGCTTCCTGTTTCCAGGGGGTCAGCTATAGGTGGGAACACAACTTACAGGGGTGAAAGAAACAAGTCAGAGGCTGAGCCTCGAATCTACTACTAACTCTGGGCTGCAGCCTCCATGCCTCAGTTGCCTCATCTGTACCATGGGAAGATTGATGGCTACTTGGCTGGATAGAAGTGGACCTGACCAGTTGTTACAACTCTGAGCTACTCCCCTATCCCTTTAGACCACTCCCTGCTATGCCTCAGTTTCTCATGGAGGAAGGTAGGGCACTAGAAAGAGCCCTGGGACTGGGATAAGACTAATAGGAGTTGGGATACATCCCTAAGGAGAGAGAGCTAACTTATGCTAGAGGGATGAAGTAAGACCACATCCCTCTAGCATGAATATAGCCCATTCATGCTCTAGCTTGGGCTCTGTGTGTGGTCTTGGGCACAATGCTTCCCCTCTCTGGTCCTCAGTTCCCTCGTCTGTAGTATAAAGGAGTTGAACGGGAAACTACATGAAGGTCTTTCTAGCCATAAAAATGCTAAGATTCTTTGATGCTCTAGAAGGTTGAAGTTCCCTGCCTCCCCCATACTCAAACCTCATGTTTCAGTTTCTCTGTCTGTAAACTGGGAAAAATTACACTGGATTATTGGTATAAATATCTGATCTAGATATCTCCAATCTGCCCAAGGAGTTCTCCAATCACCCCCTCCTCAAGCCAGAGCTCATAGAGTCTCACTGCCCAGTACCTCAGCCCAAGGTGAGCCCTGGGAATCTCCATGGCAACAAACTGGTTATGAACGGGGCTGCAGTTGCCATGGTGATGGGCTTCTCTCTCTCTCTCTCTCTCTCTCTCTCTCTCTCATCCCCCTCATCTCCCCTTCCCTCTTCTCAGCGAACCAGAGCGAACTGCAGGCCCCAGCTCTCCAGGTGGGGTGGGGGTGGGGGGTGGATGCAGTGAGAAGGGGGTCCAGATTGAGAAAGAGGGAATATGGACTGAATCTGTAGGGGAATAGGGGGCTGTTGGGGTGCCATTGTCATGGTGATGGGGCTGCAGCCTGTTAATTAAGCCCCTGGTTGCCACGGAGACGATAGTGGTTGGTGTGCTCTGCGGTGAGCCCTGTGTGTGGGGTGTGCTGTATGCTGGACTCATCAATTCACTGTGAGGGTTTTGGGCCTGGAGGATGGGGCATGCATGTGGGGGAGAGAAGAGTGAAGGAGGGAGTTCAGGGCCTTGGCTCCGTGAAGTCAAACCTGGGGGTGGGTGGGTTAGGTTGAGGAGTAACGATATGGAGATAAGATGGATAGGAATTGAATCATTGGGAGGAACACTATGCCCGCCTCTCATGGAAAGAAGGCCCAGTCAGGTGGCTCCAGTGTCCTCCAAACAGCCCCTCATTCTGGTTCAGTGGATGGAGCCCTGGGCTGGAGGTCGGGGAACTGGATTCCAGTCCCGAATCTGCCATAAATTCACCCCATAAAGAAATTTTGCACCTTTCCATTTCTAGACTCCAACTTCCCCATACATGAGGAATGGTAAAAAAAAAATTTATAAAGTTCCTTCTAGTTCCCAAATTCTGATACGTAGGAGGCAGGTCCTCTGAACATTCTTTCTCTCTGAGAAGCATACAGTAGGAGCATGGGTCAGTTCTAGAGACTCAGAGTTCAGAAATAAGACCCTGCTCAGTTCTGCATCTTGTGTTGCTTTTAAGAGAGGGTTGCCCTAGCCCTAGATCTTTCTAGGGTTCTGGGTGGGGATAGGGTGCTGGGCTGGCTGTCATGTTCCTGGGGCTCAGAGCTGAGGGACGCCTCATTGGTGACATTACTGGCCAAGTCCAGGCTGGCAATGCAGAAGGTGCCTGCAATGTGTTTTCTCAAAGCCTCACTGCAGAGCGTTGGCCTAAGGCCAGAATAGGAACCAGTCTCCTTGAGAGGTGGGCGGTGTGAATTGAAGGGCTAGGGTCTCCCTTTGGGGCTCTGTCCTCACTTCCTGGGTTCCCCAGGAAGGGCTCCATGACGTTAGTTTGAGGTAAATGGAGAGAGCACTAAGAATTTTCAGAGAGGGAAGAAGTCCCATGGATTATGCAGCCTAACCCTTTCATTTTACAGATGGAGATACTGAATCCCCAAGAGAGGACCTCAGTCTTGCTCAGGGATATGCAGAGCCTTGGGGCAGAGGACAGGATGGCGCCATTATCTCCTGAATCCTGGCTGCCTCATGAGATAGTTACTCTGGTGAAGGTGGACAGATGGTATACCCAGGGGAAGAGGAGTCACCTGTACTCCCTTGGGATCTAGGTTTCCCTCCTGGCTGGACTCAGTCCCTGAATGGCCAGGGCTCTGGGCCACAAATGAAGGGAAATACCCCCAGGAGGGCATCCAAGACCTGGGAATGCTGAAAAAAATCTCAGAATTTAATTTATTTCACAACACTTCCCAGGCAAGCATAGTACCTGTTTTTACGATGTTACCTGTCTCTATAGAGTAGTGGAAAACCATGTTGCTGGTGCTGGTGATGGGTGTAGTGGAGTGCTTAGAAGTTCTTGAACACCGGCCTACCCACCTGTTATCCTTTGAACCCTTGTCACCCATCCAAATTCATCTCACTTTTTGTGTGTGTGTGGTTTTCTCTCTGGGAAAGCCAAGACCAATTTTCACACCTGTTGGAATAGCTAACTCTCCAACCCTAGAGTTCTTCCAGTGTCCACAGAACTCAGTGGCAGTGATACCTTATTGGTGGGTCCCTCAGAGGCCCCTTTTCCGTCAATTGCTGAGGACTCCGTGGTTTGACTCAGTTCGAAGCCACTGACAAATGTGTGAAGAGGGGCATCTGAGCAGCAGGTCCTGTCCATGGTTCTGAAAAGTCACATCCAGCCTTATGGATGGCTTTCTAGGACCCTTAAAAGGACTTTTGGGCCCACCTTCATTTGCAAGCCGAGAGGCCACTCGAGTGTGGCACCTCTGAAGCCTGAGCAAAGGAAAAGGGAGAAAACGCATCTCAGGCCCACTCTTGGATCGTTTTTTAGTAGCCAAGAATCAGAGGAGCTGAGTAGTGTGCATAGGACTGCATCCTTGTCTCTTCTGTTGGAGCCAGGGTCAGTTTTAAAAGAGGTTACATTGAGGAGCAGAGAGAGTCCTAACCTGGAATAAAGGGACCTGGATCTCAGTCCAAATTCTGCCATTCACTGGCATTGTGTCCACAGGCAGTCACTTATTTCTCTTCTTGGGCCTTCACTTTCTCATCTGTAAAATGAAAGTTGTGCATTAGATAAGACGACTGACGCCACCCCGTCTATCCCTGGAACTCTCCTGGAACTTAGAGGGCTAGTGTTGGGGGCTAGGGCGAGTCTGAAAATAACTTCCCCATAATCTGTTCTCACCCTGCCCTGTGATGTTTAAATCTCCCAGAGACTCAAAGGGTCCAAACCTCTTATGCTGCTTCCTCAGATGTCTCCCACTGGCTCCAGCCTGGATTCTAGGGGTGCTGAGGGGTACCAGGAAAAGCTTCTGAGGGGACCTCTATCAGGGGAGGGGGAGGAATACAGACAGCATGTCAGCTCTGGAATCCTCAGAAAGCAATCCTGGATTAGGGGATTAGATACTCCTGCCCCTGGAGAAAATCTGGTCCCAAACTGACAGGCGGCCTCATTGCCCCCTCCCCCACTCTGTCCCTGGCTCGCCTCAGACTGGCCTGCTTTCCCTAGAGGCTGCACCATCCCTGGTGGGGAGTCAGAGCTCCCTGAAACCTCACTGCTGTCTTTTCTCCTCTACACCATGTCTCCTTCCCAGGGTCATTCCACAGTCAGGGGGTTCTCTGTCTGTGGACTCCAGGGATTTGTCTTGGGGGCGGAATGCTGGGACTCTTGTCAGCTTAAGCACAACGAGAGGGCTCACTGCGACTTCTCAGGCTCCAGTCCTCCCATTTTAAGACTGGATGAGCCAGACGGTTCAGCCCAGTGATCCTGAACCTCCCTGGGGGCAGCGCAGTGTTTCAGTTAAGGGCTCTGGCCTCTGCAGGACCCTAGTTCCAATCTCTTGAACAGCTATATAGGAGAGGGTCTTGTTTTCCACTCTTCTTCAAGGCTGTCCTCTCCTGCTTTGCAGACAGGCTCCCCAGGGACCCATATTCCATGGTGCTCCACCCGGCTGGCTCAGTTCCCCTCATCTTCCCCTTAGGGGGTCACCCCAGACCCCCAGCTAGGCAGCCGCTGCGGGGCCGTCTCCCGGTGGCCGCGACCTAGTTCCCTGCCGTTATTTTTAGGGCGCGGGATGGCACCTGCCCACGTGCCGGCCCCGCCTGCGTGGGAGAGTGGGGGGCGGGCGGAGCTGCGTCTGCTCAAGGAAGGCAAGGCCCTGGTCTCCCACAGCATCCCCTCTATCCCACCCGTGCAAGTCCTCAGTTTTAGTGCGAGGGGGCCGCCAGGCGCTCTCCGCCCGCCCCTCCTCCCCTCTTCTTCCTCCCTCCCGCGCTCCCCCTCCAAAACCCCGCCAGTGGCTCACGCCTCCTGCATACGGGATGAGGTGAGCAGCGCCGCCGCTGAGAGGGGGCGCGCGCGGGTGTGAGCGTGTGTCCGTGTGCGAGTGTGAGTGCGCCTGGCGGGCGGGCACTGCAGCTTCTTCCTCGGTGGAGCGGAGATCTAGAGAGAGAGCAAGAGAGCGGAGAAGGCGGGCAGAGGGGCGCGGGCGAGGCGGCGCAGCCATCCCGGGGCCCGGCCGCGGCTCTGCCACCATGCTAAACAACCTGACGGACTGCGAGGACGGCGATGGGGGAGCCAACCCCGGTAAGCAGCGGTCCGGGGGCGGCGAGGGAGGGGGCGGCGAGGAGAGGAGGCAGCTCTGGGGTTAGAGGCAGAGCGGGGGCCGCCTCCTTCAGAGAAGAAGCTGGGATTGACCGGGGCGGTGGGCGCCCACAGCGGCCTGGAGCCTGCTCCATTGGAATGCGCCAGGCGCTGTCCGAGGTGCTGGAATGCGCCGCGCCCGGGGCAGGGCTTGGGGGCCGAGGGGTTGACATTACCCACAGCCCGAGGGGCAGACGTGGGTTAACCAAGCGGAGGAGGCCGTGGGAAGGGGATGGAAAAGCTAGAATGGGCTGACGTGGAGCTCGACGGGCGGAAAGAGGGCTCCTTTCCCCGAGAAGGGACCCCGGCGTCCTGGCACAGAGCGTTGACCCGAGGTTGGGTGTGGGGTGTGGGGGGGTGGGAGTGGGGGCGCAGTCTGCTGCAGTTCCTCGCTCTGAGACTTCCAGCTGAAATGTGGGGGGAAGGTGCCTATGAGGAGTTGGAGCCATATGACGGCCCCCGTCCGGGCTGCGGTGTCTCCTTAAGAGGACACTTGGTGCAATCCGGGCCCCCTCCCCCAAAGCTGCCCGAGGTCCGACCTCAGACTGAAGCGTACCTCCCCCGGAGATTTTCAGCTCTACTTTGCGGAATCTCCCTCTCCTGGCGTCCCCGTGGGTTTCTATTCAGGACAGGAAGCAAAATCACCCTCCTTTCTTCCCTCTTTCCCCTTTCTCTTGGTACCCTCGGATGGCAGTGAGGTTTCCAGGGCGGGGCAAGGGGGAGTCTTTCTAGTCAGCTCTCCTAGCTTCCCCAGTAAGGCCTCAGGAATGGGGTACCAGCTGCTGAATCCCAGGCGCCGCGGCGCGGACACTGCGGACGCGCTGCGGTGGGTGCGGAGACTCGCTAGGAGCCCAGGGGCTTGGAGCAAGTCCTTTCGCTGCTTTGGCTCTCCCCCGCCCTCCTCCGCGGTTTCCCTACTCCGATGTCTTCGGGGCCAGCCACCCTCTCCGGCTCCCAGGCCCCCCGCCGCCCCCAAGCGGTCTCAGCCATCCATCACGGATGTCAGCCGCCCCCACCCCCCACCCTCAAGCGGCGCTGCGTCCCTTGCGCACTAGCGCGCCTCCCGCACCGGCTGTCTGCGTTCCTCGCCTTCAAACGCTCCTCTGGGCATTGCTTGACCCTCTGAGCCGAAACTCCTGCAGACCTCCCTAGAGGATGGCCGAAAGTTCCCAAGGGCTGAAAGAGGGGGGTCTTCCAGGGACTGGAAGACTTGACTTGAAGTCCTCTGGATCCTGGATCTGAGTCAGAGCCAAGTGGCCGCTTGGGAAGGCTGTGGACACCAGGGTCCCCGATACTTTGTCTGAGACCCCCTCTTTCTCCCCGGGGCTGAGTGGTAGACAGGGATCTTAACGACCGGCTGGTCTGCTCATCTATCTCCCCAGTGACACTAGGGTTGCCTCATCCCGCAGCCGCCCTCTTCCCCAACAGGCTTAGGCTGCAGGGGAAGGGGGTTTGACTAAGTGGAGTCTGCGGCAGCACCAGGCATCCCAATATTGTGCCCAGGGAACGATGGGGGTCCTTTCCATCTGGAATCCCCTTTAGATGCCTCTACTCTGGAGGTGGGCACTCAACCTGAGAGATAATCTCTCTGCTCCCCTAGACAAGGGGTGTAGTCCCATTCCCTAGCCTCTGCTTTTCTATCTACCCTGAGGTTGGTGACTTGCTGGGCCTTGGGATTTCCATGGGGTCTCAGGAGACCTAGAAAAGAGGCATCTATGTGTATGGAGAAGTCGAACTAGGAATTGCCTTCAGTTCTACCCCCCTGCGCATTAGTTTCTAGACTCTGAGTGTAGTGGGCCCATCTGGAGACCTTCTCTTTCTATATAGTGGCCAGGACCTGGAATTAGAGTGGCCAGGACCTGGGTCAGGCATTTTGGGTCCCAGAGAGAGAAGGCCTCCCAGTGGCAACTGGAGATAGTGGTTGGGGGCCTTAAGGACCTGCTGGGCTTGAAGGAAGAGGGACCATCTAATGAGAGCCCCTGGCATTTCTGATCCTAAGTTCTCGGGGATGTGGGGCGGACCTGGGTGCTGACCTCAGGGAGGTGGGAATGACTCTAGTAAGAGGGCTCCTCTGGACTAAAGAAGCACCCAAGGAGATGATCTCTGGCCCTCAGGTCTCCTTTCCTCTTGAGGTCTGACGCCCTCCCCCACTACCCCAGTCGGTCTTGGGGATTCCCCCAGGCCTGGCCCAATGCCCCCCGGGGAGGGGGCGGGGGGAGGATCCTTAGCCGGTGCTGCTCGCCTGTTTCCTTCCCGGGAGCACTGGCCGCCGCAGCTTAATTGAAAGCCGATTCGGGCTGAGAGCTCCCAAGGGGCGGGGGAGGGGGCGGGGGCGGAGAGGGCTCAGCCTCAGTCTGGCCCTGCCTCTCTTGCGCGCGCCACTCGGCGCTCCCCCATCATCCTGACTCCTGGCTCTGGGGAATCAGGGCGAGTTCCCCCTCCGCAGTCCTGCTCCTTTGAGAACTCATGAAGCTCACCCCCTTCCCTGTCCTCCCCCTACCAGTGCGCCTGGCGTTCTAGGGAGGGAACGAAATCAGCCCTGGCCGACGAGGTCGGGAGCTTGGCGTCCCGTCCAGTCGGCGGGTGGAAAGGCGGGACCCAGAACAAGCCTACCTAGCTGCCCCCTCCTCTGCCCTCATCTCCTGGCCGCGATCCCGCCCAGAGTCTGGCTCCGCGCTGCGCGCCGCGTTACATAATCAGTTGCGGGCGCGTGGCCGGCTGTGCGCTGTGCTCTCGGCCCGCGCGGTCGCCTTGGAGACCGGCACGGGGCTACCTGGTTGCAGGGTCTCCAACCAGGACACCCCCTTCCTGCCCCGCACTTGCTCCGGCCCCACAGTGGAGGAGGGATTTGGGAGGGGGCGTGAAAGGCAGCGAGGAGGTGATCTCGTGCCTGGTTGTCTTGGCCCTGAGAGCGGACCCCTTGGGAGAAGGGCCCAGTCCAGATGGGCCCACCACAGGAGACAGGGCACCTAAATCTCGAAGCTGGGGGAGGGTTGTGGGATGGGGAGCCTGGGTTGGGTGGGGCACCACGTATATTAAGAATAATCGTAATTGTAATAGCAGCAGCAATAGCTACACTGTACCAGGCATACCCAATGGGCATTAGTATTTTACTTAAGCCCCACAACAGCCCTATCAGTTAAGCACGGTTATTATCACTTTGCAAAGGAGGAATTGAGGCTGAAAGTTTAAGTGACTTGCCCAACATGTCAACACAGCCGGTGAAGCTGGGGCTGGAACCTAAATCTTGACTCCCGTCTGTTTTCTTCACCATTAAGACGTTTGTTCTCATCGCATCCCCTCTCAACCCCTGTAGTTCTCATCATAGTGAAGTGAGAACATGAGGCATCTTGCCAGTATTTTAAAAGGAGGAGGAACCCACCTTGCTTTTCTTTCTCCTGTTACCTGGGCCCAGAGAGCTCTTCTGAGACCCTGGGGTCAGGAAGGGAGGCTGGGGGGAGTTTACTTCTAAAGGCTTTTCCTGAGCGCCTATTATGTTCCAGGCTTCCACTGGGAGGGCGGGTCTGCTATCCCCAGGAACTCACATATATGAGGAGAATAAAGAGTGGGTGGAGGCCCCCTGTTTGGGGACCAGGAGTACCTAGACTGATGGATAAGGTGGAGGTGGTGGCAGGAGACAACAGGCGGTGGGTCTCCTTTGAGCAGGTGAGGCATCACTTCTTCCCCATTTACAATTTAGAGTCAGGATGAGATTGGATTTCTAACAGGTCATGTTCTGGGGATGGATCCTGGCTGGGAGACTAAGGAAAGTTTCCAGGATGTAGGGAGAAAGATGGGGGAGGATTTGTCTAGATGGGGAGGTGGGGGAGAGCTATTGATTGATCTCAGGAGATGAGGGAACAGGTAATTGGGAATACGTAGGGCCTCAGCTTCACTTGGGATTTGGTCATTGGGGAGTATCTGCAGGGGCCAGAGAGCAATCTACTACTAGGATTCAGCCATGGTACTGAGAAAGGGTGATGGCTAAAACTAAGGGAACGTGTCCCTTAGAGTCTCTTTTATCTCTTTGGAAGAACCCTCTCCTTGATGCCCAAGAGATTTTCCCCTTGATCTCATCCAAGCGCTTGGTTTAACACACTTCTTACACGCCTTTTAATGGGTTACCCCCATTTCTTTTTTGCTACCCAGCCTCCCATCTGGGTCTCAGACTGATCCGCATATCCAAGTGGCCTCTGGACTTATTCAGTTGAATGTCCTCCAGTGCTTCACTCTCAATCAAATTCAGCATCTTCCCCGTCCCCAACCTCCTCCTTTCCCATTTATTAAATAGCATCATGACCCATCCACTTATTTGTGCTAGAAACCCCAGGCATTATTCTAGATTTCTCCTTTCTCCATTCCCAAACATCTGGCATAGAAATATGTGCCAATAATTCTTGAGTCTGTCCATTGCTCTGCGTTGGTCTGGATCACCAGCATTTGCCTGGATTACTGAAAGCCCCTAACTAGCGTCTATATTCTTCATCTAAAGGCCAGAGTGATTGCTGTAAAACATGTCTGTTCATGGCACTTCTTTGCTTAGAACCCTTCAGCGACTTCCCGTTGTTGTCTGGATGAGGCTCCAAATCTTTAACGTATCCTGCTAATTGTGTAAGGACTCAGCCCACACTTAACTTCCCAGGTTCATTTTTTCACATGCCACTCCCCACTCTTCAGGTCCCCCTCCCCCCCCAGCCCTATGCTGCTTTCTCAGACTTCAGCCAGATCAAACTTCTTTCGGCTCCTCTAGCCCACTCTGTTCACGCTCACCTCTGGGCCATCGAACATGCTGTTCTGCTGCTCTATCTGCCTGGAACACCCTCCCGCCTCCCTCCCAGTCTAGATCTTACTCATCCTTCAGTTCTCAGCTGACACGTCACTTCCTCTGGGAAGCCTTCCGTGACCTCCCCGGCTAGGCTGCGTGCCTCTCTTCTGTTCCTACAGCCCCTTATTCATCTCCTACTACAGAACTTAGCACCCTTGTTTGGAAATTCCTGTTTACTGGTTCATCTCCCTTGCCCTTGGGTTCCCTAAGGGCAGGGATGGTGTCTTATTCTGTTTCACTCCCCCTTCCTCCCCGTGCCCATATTGGCACATGGCAGACATCCAGCAAATACATGTTGACTGAAGATGAATAAGGGGCACAGGAGGTGCCAAAGTGGGTCACTTTTCTAAGAGGTGGAGTATCCTTGGGGCCTCCGGCTGTAGTGTTCTCTGCCTTCCCCCAGGAAAGAACACGCTTCCACCACAGAATACCAGGATGGGCCCAGTTGCGGTTGAGGAGGGGACCCTGGAGAGTCTAGGGTGCCCTGGTGAATCAAGTAGGATCCCCAAGAGCAAGGAGGTATTCACATTCATTAAATACATGCCAAGGAGTACACTCGGCTCTTTATACGTGCTGGCACCTAAAATTCTGCAAGGGAGGTAGTATCAATCAACTCCCTTTTCCACTGTGCAAACTGAGGCTCAGAGGGTCAAAGTGGCCACACAGCTGTATTGGCTCAGGCAGATGGATGACAACCAGCTGGTGCCAGGTCCTGACTCCTCTGCCTTCTCAGGTGATGGCAACCCCAAGGAGAGCAGTCCCTTCATCAACAGCACCGACACAGAGAAGGGAAAGGAGTATGATGGCAAGAACATGGCCCTGTTTGAGGTGGGTTGCGAGGGATGTTGGTCCCCAGCCAGAGTTCATCTCTCCATTCACCAGGTGCTCCCTCCTGCCCTAGGAAACAGTGTCCTCCTGTCCACCTCTCCGTCAGGCCCACCTGTTCCCTTGAGCTTTCTCCATTTCTCCTTCTCCTTCCCTTTACCCCTGTTACCCGCTTTCCTCACCCTCCCGTCCTCTTTCCCTGTTCTCCTTGCCTATTCCTCCTCCTTCCCCATCTCAGCCTGACCTCAGTGATTTGCCTGCCTTGTCCCATATCTCTGCCTCCTACCGTCTAGCTCATGCCATCCCCTCTCCTAGGCCCCAGGGTTCTAACACTGCTGCCCTCCCTCCATAGGAGGAGATGGACACCAGCCCCATGGTGTCCTCCCTGCTCAGTGGCCTGGCCAACTACACCAACCTGCCTCAGGGAAGTAGGGAGCATGAAGAGGCAGAAAACAATGAGGGTGGAAAAAAGAAGCCGGTGCAGGTGAGGGCCTTGGGGAAGAAGGGATGAGGGGGGAAGGAGGATGGAGGGGAGAAAAGAGAGGGGAGAAAAAATGGATTCAGAGGAAAGGATGGAGGATGGAAGCAGAGGTATAGGAGTTGGGGGCTGAGGGAGGAGAAGGGATGGGTGATGAGGGATAGACATGGAAGGGAGGAGGGAGGGGTTGGTTTGAAGGAGAGGTGATGGAGGCATGAAGAATGGGAGGTGGGAGCAGGAGGGGAAGGAAGGAAGGGGGATAAGAATCAGAGGGAAGAGAGGGATAAAGGGATGGAGACGGAGAGAATAGGAAAGTGGGGCATGGAGGAACAGGGAAGGAGCAGTGTGCTTGTGGGGTTGGTAGCGATTAGGGGCTACAGAAACTGACGCTGGCCTCCCTGGCAGGCCCCACGCATGGGCACCTTCATGGGCGTGTACCTCCCGTGCCTGCAGAACATCTTTGGTGTCATCCTCTTCCTGCGGCTCACTTGGGTAGTGGGCATTGCAGGCATCATGGAGTCTTTCTGCATGGTCTTCATTTGCTGCTCCTGTGTGAGTGACATCCTCCCCTGTCCCACCCCCTGACAGCTGGGCTGAGCAAGGACCTGGGGGTGTGAGGGAGGGGGTGAAGCATGAGACCTGAGCTTTTTATAGGAACTACTGCATATGATCTTTGAGAGTAAATTAGATCTGACCGGTCCTTCCTGCATCTCACAGGCCAGTCCCTGATGGCTATTAACCGGGTTTCACCTGGGGGTGTGAGTGTGTGTGTGTGTGTGTGTGTGTGTGTGTGTGTGTAATTACACGAGTAATGAAGATTCATTGATGATAAAGGTAGGTGTACAGAAAGAAATAAAATTCACCTATAATCCCACAATAGTTAACATTTTGGTAGGTCCAGACTCACAAAAAATGGGATGATGTGTCACAAAGAGCTTTGTAACAGAATTCTTCCTATCCTCTCTAAAAAAAAAAATCCAGTATGCACTAGACACTTACTTCTCGTCACATTTACGTTTCTTCATACATGACCCTTGAGCCACCTCTGCATATGAGGTAGCCCGTGCTGAAGCTAGTACCCTATTGTGTAGATGAAGACACTGAGGCTTAAAGAGTGAAGTGACTTGTCTCAGGTCAGACAGCTGGTCAGAGGCCAGGCTGGGATTTCCAGAGCTCTCTGATGCTATAGCTGTGCTTTGTCCATGTGTATGGTGAATAAGAGCTTTTCCTGACAAGAAGGACTTGGCAGGAGTAGAAGTTGGAACAGGACCAGGGAGGAGCTCAGCGGAAGAGGACTTGTGGGTTTGGCAGGTGTTTATGGGGCATAAGGTTTGGCCCCCACCCAGGTCACTGCGGCCCCCACCCCAGCCACTGCTCTGATGATCTCTCTCCTCACAGACGATGCTCACGGCCATCTCTATGAGTGCAATTGCAACCAATGGTGTCGTACCTGGTATGTGACTGGGGCTTCTTGCAGGGGACAGGGCCTGAATGGTCGGGAGGGGGGCCTGGATAGTTGATAGGAGGGAGAGTACCCCAGGTTTTGGGGGCCATCGGGACCCAAGAGAGGCAATATTGCAGACCTGGGAGCTGGGCTATGATGTTTGTGGGGCAGGTGGGGACAGTTGTATGAAGGGGAGGCGAGGGAGGTGGTTGATGGTGTTAGACAGGACAGCGTATGATGTCCCTTTGCCAGAGACCCTCCTCTCCATCATCCTATTTTCCCAGCCATGACCCCCTTAGAGGGGTAATTAGCAACATGGTAATTAGTGCTGCAAAATCCACTCAGAGTGGCTAGCTATGTCTCCCACCAGCCCTAAAGCTGCAGCCACTAAGGCCCATGAAGCCCAGAGCAACCCACTTCCCGCCTCTGTCCCTGAGCCCCCTCACCCCCGACGGAAGCCCAGTGCTCCTTGAACCTCTCGCTGATACTAGGTTCTTTCTGCAGCTGGCGGCTCCTACTACATGATTTCCAGGTCTCTGGGCCCAGAGTTTGGGGGCGCCGTGGGCCTCTGCTTCTACCTGGGCACTACCTTTGCTGGGGCCATGTACATCCTGGGCACCATCGAAATCCTGCTGGTGAGAGGGGCCGAGGAGGAGGTGTGGGGTCCCAGGTATCAGTCAGTTAATCAGTGCTCCCTGGACACCTCCTATAGGCCACTCAGTAAGGCCTAAGGGAAATCACATGTGGTTCTGTCTTTAAAGAGTTCACAGTCCAGTTGGGGAGACAAGATGCAATAATTATGTAACATGAACAGCTGCCGTTTATCAGGCACCCACTGTGCTCTCAGCAGAGTTCCAAGTGCTTTGCAGTCATTATTTTGAATCCTCATGAGGTTTAAGTATTATTATGCCCGTTTTACAAATGAGAAGCTCAGAGAGGTGAAATGACTTATTCAAGGTCACTTAGCTATCAGTGGCAGAGGTAGATTGATAAGAGTAAAGTCACAGTAGAAATAATAATGGCAGTGTCACACAATAGCCACCATTTTGTGATTGCCAGCCACATACCAGGGGCCGTGTGCTAAGTACTCTATGAATGTTAATTGTAGAGGGCTGATGGCTTGCAGATTGCAAAAGAGAAGAAAGATATGAAGGAGCAAGTAAAGAGATCTGTCAGGAGTAGCGACTAATGATGAGAAGTCAGGTGGGGAGGCAGCGTTTGAAGGAGATGGCTGCTGACTCCCGTCTCCGTTCTTCTAGCCCCTCCAGGAGGAGGTGGGAGCTGAAGGGGGTTCTGTGGCATGTAGAAAGTGGGGCTGATATTTCCCAAGCCTCTACTCTACCCAGGCCCCATGGTCTGCAATGTATCATTTCAATTTCTCCCCGAGTTTCCCACGAGTTAGTAGATGTCCCCATTTTACAGATGAGAAAAGCCAGGTTCAGAGAATTTAAGGAAGGGCTATGAACGCGTGGAAGGGGTGTGAACCTGTGTCTTTCTGATCCCAAAGCCCAGCGCCTGTCCACTCTACCACCCTGCCTTGGAGAGTTAGGACTAAAAGATGTCATAGCTTCTGGTTTTGGGGCCAAATGGAGGAATGCAAGGACAGAGAGGATGGATAAGGAATAAAAGATCTGAGGAGCCAAATTATGACAGAATAATAATACACCTTACGACTTTTACAAAGCTAAATAATTAAAAAAAAACTATTATAAAAGCAATTCCGCCCATTGCATAAAATTGGAAAAATATCAAAGAATGTAAAAAATGAAATAACAATCACGCAAAGAAAATCATTAACATTTTGGTGTACTTCCTTCTAGTTTTTTTGTTTTTCTATTTGATATTCTGTTTTTGTAAAATGTAACTATAGATTTCCCTAAATAACTAAAAACTCTCTTTGTAAATATAATTTACAAATGAAAATAACTTTTGTAAGAATATAAATGTTAATATTTAGAAGAGAAATTATAAAAAATACAGATGTGTGAAAAGAATAAAGATTATCTACATTTTCATGTATCTTCGCACAGGGACATCTGTGCATATGTGCATATGTTTACATATAAGTACACATATATATTTATAAAAATGAGATCACAAGACACATTTTTTTAAAAAGCTTGATTGTTTTTACCTAATATAATATGGATAACTTTTTGAGTCAGTTCAGATAAATCCCTTTATCCTTTTCAAAAGCTCCATAGTCTATATGGAAATGTCATGATTTAGTCACCCAGGCCTCTAATGATGAATATATAATTTACTTCTGCCTTTCTATTAGCAATAATAAAAACAACAATCATTAAGAATTGTACTTGATAACAAAAATAGTAGAAATTATAAATTGCTCCCAATATCTTCGTAATATCCTTTTTAATGACTGTATAATAGTCCTTGCAGGATAGGCCATGATCTCCTTCACTTTTCCCTGTCATGGGATCTCCTTCCTAGCCTCGCACTACTGTAAATTTGCTGTGACCAGTACCTTTCCTCCAAAGCCTTGCCTGCACTTCCGGTTATTTCTTTAGGGTGATTCTCAGCTGGTTCTTCCTGGGTTACTCGCCTGACCTCCTCGCCCCTTTCCCACAGGCTTACCTCTTCCCAGCTATGGCCATTTTTAAGGCAGAAGATGCCAGCGGGGAGGCAGCAGCCATGTTGAACAATATGCGTGTGTACGGCACCTGTGTACTCACCTGCATGGCCACTGTGGTATTTGTGGGCGTCAAGTATGTCAACAAGTTTGCTCTTGTCTTCCTGGGTTGTGTCATCCTCTCCATCCTGGCCATCTATGCCGGGGTCATCAAGTCTGCCTTTGACCCACCCAACTTCCCGTAAGTGCTGCTGCTCTGAGCCTAAGGCATCGTCCTCCTCCTCCATGACCCAGTTTCAGGGGCTGCACACCAGTCACTGCCAACCCCCCCCCCTCCCCCGTCCCCATCTCTCAGAATCAGAGTGGTTGTGGATTCAGAGTAAACGCCCTTGGGAAGGAAAATCTCTCCTGGTTTGGGGGCATTCTCCTCAGCGTAGGAAAAACATTTCTGGGAGTGGCCAGTTTCCCTGGTGAGGGGCATCATCTTGCTGGTGGGGTTTGGCTGAGGAAGAGCCAAGTGGAACGCTTTCTAGAGGGATGAACACTCGACGTCAGGGAAACATTTCCGGGGTGAGGAATGTTAGGGGAACTCCCTGGAATGGGACAACTACTTCGTGTTAAACACCTTCTCTACCATAAGAAAAGAGACAGAAGAGGATGTCTAGGCGCTCAGATCCCTGCTGGTCCTGCCTGTCTCCCTAGGACCCATTCGCCTATATCCCACCCACTGCCCAGAGCCGCAAGCAGAAACTGCTGTCCACGGTGCTGAAACAGCCTTGCACTAAAGCTGTGGTTCTCGGTTGTGGCTGCGTATTAAAATCACTTAGGGGAGCTTTGAATGAAAGCCAATCCTGGGCTCTATCCCAATTAAATCTCTGGATATGGGGCCCTGGCATCTGTGTTTTTTAGAGCTCCCCTGGTGGTGCTACTATGAAGCCAGAGCAAGGTTATGTCCCTCCCCACCTTCCTCCCTTGTTTCTCTCCCTAGGATCTGCCTCCTGGGGAACCGCACACTGTCTCGCCATGGCTTTGATGTCTGTGCCAAGCTAGCCTGGGAAGGAAATGAGACGGTGACCACACAGCTCTGGGGCCTTTTCTGTTCCTCTCGCTTTCTCAATGCCACCTGTGATGAGTACTTCACCCAAAACAACGTCACAGAGATCCAGGGCATCCCTGGCGCTGCCAGTGGCCTCATCAAAGGTCTGGGGGGAAGGGAGAGGGCTGGTGTCCAGGGGACTCTGCAGGGATTGTGGGTTAAACGGTTAAGATTAAGGGACTCTACTTGGGATTCAGTTAAATTCAATCAGTCTTAATGGATCACCTGCTCTGGGCCATGTTCTGTCCTTGGCATCGTAGAAGGGTAGAGGTGAAAGGGAGCCTTTGAGTATCTTATCACCTAGTAGGAAAGAAAGTCATCAGTTTAACAAGCACCTACTAAGTGCCTAGTACTGTGCTAAGCACCAAGAATGCAACATAAGTAAGCCACAGTCCTTGGCCTCAAGGAGACTGATGGCAGACAAGGATGTATTAGCACATAAATTATGATTTGTGTAGATGTGCATTCAATGAGCAGAGACCTCCCAGGAGACGGAGTGGTCGTATGTACAAGGTGGTGAGACGAAGTTTTCTGGACTCATCGGAAAAGGCTTTTGAAGGGCACACAAGAGGTTTTCAGTTATATTACGGGAATAAAGGAATTATAGGCAGAAGAACAGCTTGTCTAAAATCATGCAGACACAGAGGAGCATATTGTGTCTTTCCAACCACAAGTAATTTGGAATGACTGGGGCATAAAGTACAAAAGAAGGAGGAGGCTCAAGAAATGACGGGGAGGCTGGCATGAGCCAGATTGTGGTGGGCCTTGGAAGCCATGTTAAAGGGTTTTGACTGTGTCCTGAGAGCAATGAGGAGCCACTAAAGGGTTTTGAGTAAGTGAGGGACATGGTTAGCTTGTCGTTTCTGAAGGTTTACTCTGGATGCTAATGTGGTTGGGCTAAAATGAGGAGAGAACAGAGGCAGGGAGTCCAGGAGGCTGACGCTGAGTCCAGAGTGAGAGATAATGGTTTTCTGACCTAGAGTGATGGAGTGATGTCAGTGGGAATGGAGCAGTGCTCTCCACTAAGGCTGTTTGGCCCCACGGGAGACACGTGGCAATGTCTGGAGACAGTTTGGGGTTTTGGTTATCACACTAGAGGGTTATTAATGGCACTTGGTGTGTAGAGCCCAGGATGTTGCTACACATCCTACAATGCTATAGAAAAGTCCCCAAAACGAAGAATCATCTAGCCCCCAAAGTCAACAGGGCCAAAGTAGAATAACCCTGGAAAGGAGAGAAGCGGCATATTTGGGAAATATTTAGGAAGAGTAATGGACAGGAGTTGGAGATGGTTTTGAAATGGACATGGGGAAAGGGAGCAGTTGGGGGCAATGCCAAGCTCTCTGAATTGATGGTAGTCCCGAGATAAGAGTTTCAGGAAAGGAGCTGGTTTGGGGTGGGTGGGTGGTGAGATCAGTTTGAGACGTTGAATCAGTCTGAGATAGGTGTGTTTGCCCCAGTAAATGAGTCTATTAGAGGGCAAGGGCCAAATCTGATTCATATGCAATGTCCCTGCCTGTGGCCTGGCCCAAAGCAGGAGCTTAGGAAATGTCAGTGGAGATAAAAGAGCCCAGGCCTGAGGGCAGAGAGAAGTGGTTGACCTTGACCCTTGTTTTTGCTCACACTACCTCTTGGCTCCAGAGCTCTGGCACCCTGACTTCTGGTCTTTCCTGAGCATTGTCTCTCTCCCACAGAGAACCTCTGGAGCTCCTACCTGAGCAAGGGCGTGATCGTGGAGAGGCGTGGGATGTCCTCCATGGACCTGGCTGATGGCGCCCCTGTCGACATGGACCTTCCCTATGTCTTCAGTGATATGACCTCCTACTTCACTCTGCTGGTTGGCATCTACTTCCCCTCAGTCACAGGTGAAGGGCTCAGAGAGGGAGGACTCTGCCTGGGAGTCAATGGGTAGGAGAAGTCAATGACGATGAGGGGAATTTCATAGTCCACCAACCCCATCATAGAAGCAGGAGCCAACAATTCAGTTCCCATTAGACAGATGAGGGAATTAAAGCCAGGAGAAGCCAAGTAACATGTCCAAGTTCTCACACAAATCCATATGCCAAGACCGGATTCCAGGCTTCCTGGCTCCGAGGCTGGGGTCCTCTCTTCTCCGTCTGTCTGGTCTCCTGTGGCTCTTGTCCTAGCTGCTCTGTTCACAGGGATCATGGCCGGTTCTAACCGCTCCGGGGACCTGCGGGATGCCCAGAAGTCAATTCCCACTGGCACCATCTTGGCCATTGCCACCACCTCTGCTGTCTGTATCCTGCACTGCTGGGCTGGGACCACCGTGGGCAGGGAGGGCTAGACGGTGGGCGGCTGCTGCCTCACCCCCTGGCTCAGGAGGGCGGTGGTGATGCAGGGGAACACCACCCTGGGAATTCTCCTTCATCCTCTGCTGCAGATATCAGCTCCGTCATTCTGTTTGGGGCCTGCATTGAGGGGGTCGTCCTGCGGGACAAGTAAGTAAGGGAATTAGGGCTAATCCTGTTCTGTGGGGTGGGCATAGGGGGCTGAGTTCTGAGAAGCAGACCTGACCGGGGGTGCTGAACCTGTACAAGGGGTCTTGTGGGAGGGAAGTCGCAGGGACTTGCTTGTCAACTCACCTTCTTATATTATAGTTCATCTTTCTCATGTCACTCCAGCTCAAGAAGCTTGAATGGTGTCTCATTGCCTTTAGGATAATGACACTTCTTTCCCCCCGCCTCTTTAAAATCTGTTCATTCATTTACTATTTCTTGGATGTCTATGTGTTGGTCACTGTCCAGGTTCTGGGGGGGAATGAAGAGAAATAACCCATGATTTTTGTCCTGAGGAGCTCTTTGGGGATGGTAACCATACTTGTCCACAGACTTGAAATGTAGAGTAGTAAGCGTGGTGATTAAATAAAGCACACAGGCTATGGAAGCAGTAAGCTGCAATCCAGGCGGCCACCATGTTTCAGGCACTGTGCTAAGCATTTTCTATGTGTTGTCTCCTTTCACCCTCTCATCTGTTGTATGAGATGGGTTTATAATGCTTCTCGTTTTACAGCTGAGGTAACTGAGGCAAGGAGAGGTTAAATGACTTGCCCAAGGTCACACAGACAGAAAGTGCCCAGGGCACTGGGGGCTTTGTCTCCCCCTTTGCCCCTACAGAGCCTAGTTCTGTGGTGAGCAGACAGTTGGTCCCGAAGTCGGTGTGGGAGACCCGTTCTGGAAACCCAGGTGGCATTGCTCACCCAGCATCTCCTGTTCCTTTGCGGGTTCATTCCAGGTTTGGCGAAGCTGTGAATGGCAACCTGGTGGTAGGCACGCTGGCCTGGCCGTCCCCCTGGGTTATTGTCATCGGATCCTTCTTCTCCACCTGTGGGGCTGGGCTGCAGAGCCTCACAGGGGCCCCACGCCTGCTGCAAGCCATCTCCCGGGATGGCATAGTACCCTTCCTGCAGGTCAGTGGGGGACAGAGTGTGGGGAGAACAGAACACCCCCTACACCAGCCAGCCAGGCCCCTGCCCGGAGAGGCTACACAGTGAGCCAGGGCCACGCCAAGCCTTGAACTGCCTTCTGGGGCCCTTCTGCTCTGTGCTGCCTTTAAGAAGAATGGGTGTACCTTATTTGGGATTTGGCCCATGGCCAGTGCCATCTCTTTAGGCAGCATCGTCTGCTCTTAGGGGAAAAATAAATGGCCCTCCTTTGGTCTAGTGATCAGCCAGGGACTCAAGGAGGCAGCCAAAGGGCAAGAAAGGGGCAGCTCTCCCCATGCTGCTTAAAAGAAAAAAGAAAAGATTTATGGCACACACAGTCATGGCCGCTTGCTGGCCTCCTGTCGTTCCTCTCCCATCTGTCCATTTCTTTTCCCCTTAAGGGATCATTTGAACTTCATTGCACTCGGGTACCAATGTCAGGGTGGGTGAGTTACAGCAAAAGCCTGGTATTCCCTTAAGTACCGTTAAAATACAGCGTCCTCTCCCTAATCTCCTTATTGGTCAAGGGGTCCCTGCCTCTGCTGCACTGGTCCCCAAGACTAGAGGAGACACAAGAAGTCCGTGAGGTGTCAGGCCCCCATGATGGTCACTCTGTCCTCAGGTCTTTGGCCACGGCAAAGCCAACGGAGAGCCAACATGGGCCTTGCTCCTGACCGCCTGCATCTGCGAGATCGGCATCCTCATTGCATCCCTCGACGAGGTGGCCCCCATCCTCTCCATGTGCGTGCTGGCTTCTTGCGCTCCCCACCAGCTCTGCGGGGGGGGTGTCTCTCTACCTGAATGTTGCCGCTGTAATCCCGGACAGCCCACCCAGACATTTTAACAACCCCAGGAAGTTCCCCACTGCCCTAGAAACCCATCCTTTGTTATAGAGAGATTTATCAGGATGTGTTGGAAGTGGATTCGGCCTTTGAAACCCTAGAACATAATTCGGCCTCCTCCCCAATTTCTTCCCCCGTCTCTCCCCTTCTTCCCTTCTGTTTCTCTTTCTGTTTCTGCCTCCCCTTGCAGCTCTGTCTTTCTCGGGCATTTTCTGTGTTCCAGGTTCTTCCTGATGTGTTACATGTTTGTGAACTTGGCCTGTGCAGTACAGACGCTGCTGAGGACACCCAACTGGAGGCCACGCTTTCGATATTATCACTGGTGGGTGCTTTGTTCCCTGTCCCCCCCCCACAGACCCATCCTGTCATCTCCACCCCAGTCCCCACCCCACCCTAGCCTGTCCCCTTCAGGACTAAGGATCCCAGACTCCAGCTTTTGTAGCCTAGCTAGCATGAGAGAGGTCCTGGAGAGAGGTTCCTTATAATCACAAGCAGTAACGTAACACAGTCATAAATGGTCTCAGCTGTAATCCCTCCCCTGTCCATAATGCTCAGCATCTTAGCACCTGGATGAGGAGACCTGCGTCTCCTCAGCTGTGAGATGGGATGGTCACTGCCCCTACCCCCTAGCGCCCTGTGAGCATTCCAGTGCTTGGTACACAGAAGATGCTCATTACATGAAGGCTGGGGTCCTTCTGGGGTCATTTAACTTCAAGGCTTTTCATCCTCACAATAGGCCAGTGGGGCAGACAGGGTAGAAGTGATCATGCTTTTTCTACCCAAAGGAAATGGAGGCTCAAACAGGGAAAGGGACTGGCCCGAGGCCTCCCAGCAAGACTCTGGCATGCCTGGGTTAGAACCCAGCTGCCTGACTCCCATCTCAGTGCTCTTGCTTTGCCAGTTGCCTCTCCCTGGGGACATACTCCTCTTGGGAGAGCCTGCCTCCAGTTGTTCCCAGAGACCCCTGCCCTAGAACCCATCTGGAAGGGCAGCCTGACAGTGGGGCAGGGTAGGGTAGTGACTCAGGAGTCGGGTGGGACATGGGGTGGTGCCCTGTCTCTGGCTGCTCGTTTATCCAGAAGGTTCCAGATCCCTGTGGTGCTCACAGGGATGATGGTGTGAGTTCCCCTAGACCTTGCCCAGGCCCTGCCCCCTCTAACTCTTGCTGTCTGAGCCCTGGCACCAGTGACAGCCTCGCCAGGGCTCAGAGGCTGTGTCTCGCTCCCATGGTCCAGGACACTCTCCTTCCTGGGCATGAGCCTCTGCCTGGCCCTCATGTTCATCTGCTCCTGGTATTACGCCCTGGTGGCCATGCTCATCGCTGGGCTCATCTACAAGTATATTGAGTACCGCGGGTAAGTATGGGAGGAGGGGAGAGGTGAGGAGGGGCATGGGGTGATGGTGATGGGGGAAGCGGGGGTACAGTGGAGGAGAGGGGGTGACACGGGGTGGGCTGGGGAGATAGAGGACAGGAGTAGAGGGCGGGGCTGAAGCTTTGAGAAGTAGAGCTTGCAGGAGCAACATACATGTCCCGTCTGAGCCCGAGATAGAAGGCTCTGCCCTGGGGCGGCCACTTCAGTGTGGAAGGGTCTCTCTGACACTCGCTGGCTTTCTGCCCTCGTGTGATCCCCTTTCCTGGCCCCCAGGGCGGAGAAGGAGTGGGGTGATGGGATCCGAGGCCTGTCTCTCAGTGCTGCTCGCTATGCCCTCCTACGCCTGGAGGAAGGGCCCCCGCACACCAAGAACTGGAGGTAAGTGGTGGGAGCACACGGACGCTCAGGGGAGGAGCGGAAGGGAGCAGGGCCTGACCTACCTCCCGGCTTTGTTTTGCTGAATGGTGTTCCTGTCACAGCGCCTCAGCTCAGCCTCGTGTGTCCTTAACCTCTCCTCAGCTCAGCCTCGTCTGAAACCTTCCCACCTACAGAACCAAGGCTGGGCTGACTTCCAGACATTTGTTCTCCAGAACCCCACCCACCATGCCAGCCTTCTGACCATCTATTCATCCATTCATTTACTCCATTATTTAGTTAAAAAAAAAAGTATGAATACATGATATGTGCCAAGCCTCCTTCCGGTCTCTGGGGATGTAGTGAGCTCATAGTTCCGTGGAGAAGGCACACGCAGAAACAGATAAACATAATACAATGTAGCGTTTGCTCCGGGAGAGGTGGAATCATCCATTTTAAGAGTGATAGGGTCTCTTAGAAATTTCTAGATTCATAACAATCCCTCCATTTTATTCATGTGAAAGCCAGGGACCAGGGAGGGTCTCCGAGGTTATGGAAGGCAGAACTGGAACCAGCGCCTTCCCCTGCCACCGCTCAGCCAGGGGTGCTTTCTTACTGACTGCTGTGCAAGCCCAATCCCTCACTCGCCTCTCTCAGCCTCCCTTTGCCAGGAGCAGAGCCTGGAACTCTGAACTCTGCCTGGCACACCATTGGCGTGTCTTTGCCGATGTCTACAAAACGGGCTTCCGCAGACCAGGGATTTGCATTGTTTGTCTGTGAATTCTCAAATGCTTAGTACAGGGTCTAGCCCAGACTAGGTGCTTAGAGAATGCTATTAAATTGATGGGAGGTTGGATGGTTGAAATGGCTAAAAATGAATAAGGACGTGAGTGGATAAATAGATGGGTAGATAAGTGCATACATATATATGGGAGGGTGGTTGGGTGAATAGATAGGTGTGTGAATGGATGATGGTAGGTTGATGTGTGGGTAATTGAGTGAATAATGAATGTGTAGGTAAATCAATATGGATGTAAGTGGGTGACTGAAAGATGAAATAGACAAGTAGGTGGTTGAGTGGATGGATGGATGGATGGATGGATGGATGGATGGAGGGATGAGTGAGGTAGATGGAGAGATGGATGGGTGGATCGATGGATGGACATGTGGGAGAGGTTGGATGGGTTGATATTCAAGGAAATGGATGAATGGATGGATGTTTGGGTGGATGGATGGGCCATGGGGGGATAGCTGGATGAGGGTAGAGGTGGGATGGTTAGTGAACTCGCTGGTGTATGGTGTATAGGTGAATGGGTCTATGGTGGGTGGTGTTCGGTTGGATGGTGGATGGATCACGTACTTTGCACCCTCTTCAGACCACAGCTGCTGGTGCTGGTGCGTGTGGACCAAGACCAGAACGTGGTACACCCACAGCTGCTCTCATTGACCTCCCAGCTCAAGGCAGGGAAAGGCCTGACCATTGTAGGCTCCGTTCTTGAGGGCACCTTTCTGGACAACCACCCCCAGGCCCAGCGGGCAGAGGAGGTGAGTGGAGGCCCTGGTGGGGAGTGCGTAAGGACAGGGCACTCAGGAAGGCAGTCTTTGCCCCTTTACACTTTCCTTCCTTCTCACCTTTGGGGTCAACGGGGGCTCAGACTTTGTTTTTCTCTCTTAGAAGAGGGGTCTAAGGGCTCAGGGAGTGACTGCCTTAGAATCCAACTCACAGAACCAAAGACGATGAGAGTCCGAAGGGCCCATCTCATGGATAAGGAAACTGAGGCTTAGAGAAAAGTCAGGCCGCTTGTCTAAAGACAGAAAACAGAGACTGAAATTAGGACTGCTTGACTCCCACTCCAGACTTCTCCCTGCCAAAGTTAAACCTTTCTAAGTGTTTTCACATCCGTGGATTCTTTCGATCCCCACACCATGTGCAGTCAGCAGTGTGAGTATCCACATTTGGCACCGGAAGAAACTGTGGCACACAGAATGAAAGCACCTTGCTCAAAGTCACAGAGCTGGCTGAAAGCATACTCAGGATTTGAACCCCGGTCCCCCTGCTCCGTGTCACCTGCTCCTGTTCCCATCCACTGGTCCGTGCCCACTGAGCCGCATATGGAGCCAGTGTGGGCTGGGGCAGTAAGAGGCACTAACAGGTGTCAGCACCTGGCGGGTAGCAGAGGAAGTAGGTTCTGTTTAAGATTCAGGCCTCTCTCCCCTCGGGCTGTGACCAGTTGTGGAGAGAGGAAAGGGGACCCGAGGGAGGCGAGGTGAGCTGGGGAGGGGCACCCCTAATGGCTTGTGACAGTTGCTGTTTCTGCCTCACTGGGCCGTTCACACCAATCTATCAGGGCCCAGAGCTGGAGGCCTCCACTGATCAGTTTAATGCAACGTGCTGTGGCTGAGAATGTGCTGTGCACCAGACACCGGGCTAGGCACGCGGGAGATGGAGATGGAGAAGACCAAATCGTAGCCCTCAGTGTGGTCACTCAAGGCTGGTGGAGAAGGTGGAGCATTCACAGAGGGCACACAACTCGTCTGATGTTGATAGATGCTATGCTAGAGTTCATAACATCAGAATAATAGGTGTTGAGTATTTACAGTCTGTCAGGCAGTATACTAAGCCCTTACCCATATCATATCATGTAATTCTCCCAATTCCTAAATTAAGTAGCCGTCATGATCCCCATTTGACAGATGAGAAAACTGAGGCTCATAGAGTTTAGGTGATTTTTCCAAAGTCACACAGCCAGGAGGTGGCAGAATTAGATTAGGAAATGAAGCCTCTCTGTTTGACATCTGGATAGTGGTTAAGAGTATGGGGGATGTGGTCTGATCCTTGGAATTGAACTCCTAGAATAGCATCCGTTAGCTGTGTGGCCTTAAGCAAGTATTAATTTCTTCGAGCCTCAGTTTCCTCATCTGTGAAATGGGAGTAATAAGAACACTTTCCTCATAGTGCAGACTGTGCATTAAAATGAATGGCATTATGTTAACTTTTAAAAGTTGTTAAACAAATTGGCCATGCAGAGGATTCTAGTTTCACTCTGGTCTGGGTGGGAGGTGGTATCTGAAGAAGGTGACATTTGGTTTTGGCCAGGCAGTGGGGAGGGGGCCTGGGTGGTGGTGGAGAGATTGCAGGGGACTGTACCAGCAATGGCAGGGTGGTGGGAAGTGTGGGATACAGTCATGAAGAGCTTTGATTGATCAACAAGGAACAGGAGCCGTAGGTGATGGGGAGCCGTGCAGGACTCTGGCACCAGAGGCTGACATGATCAGAGCAGAGCTTCAGGAAGATGAGGGTGCTGGAGGGGAGGGATGGGAGGAAGGGAGGCTGCAAGGGGCCGGGCAGGGCCAGGGTGGCCTGAGGCTGGTCCTTATCTGATGTCCCACCACCCACAGTCCATCCGGCGCCTGATGGAGGCGGAGAAAGTGAAAGGCTTCTGCCAGGTAGTGATTTCTTCCAACCTGCGTGATGGCGTGTCCCACCTGATTCAGTCTGGGGGCCTCGGGGGGCTGCAGCACAACACCGTGCTGGTTGGCTGGCCCCGCAACTGGCGGCAGAAGGAAGACCATCAGACCTGGAGGAACTTCATCGGTAAAGCTGGGTGGGCTGGGGGCGGTGGAGGGCTGGGGCTGGTGGGGGGTTGGTGGAGGACTGTGGGAGGGTTCTCCTTCTGTGGTCCTGGTGGTCGTTTCCCAGGAATGACAAGTGTGGAAACGGCATGTGGAGATTACAGGGTTCAAAGCCGGCCATGTGCCAGGTACTGTGTTAGGTGCTGGGGGCCCAGGTATGAAGGAGACAGTCTTGGCTCCTGCAGGGCTCACAGTCCTGGGAGGGAGACAGTGCAGGGGAGTGGGAAGAGCTACAGCTTTAAAGCCACAGAGACCTGGATCTAAATCTCACCTCTGGTCCTTCCTAGCTGTGTGATCGTTCACAAGTGACTCACCCTCTCTGAGCATCAGAATCCTTAGTAATAGTGATATAATAACTACCATATATAGACTGCATTCTGTGTGCCAGACAGGTTGAGGCTTTCCTAACTCTATAATTCTCTTAGCAGTCCTGTGAGGGCTAGGTATTGTTATCTCCACTTTATGGCTGTGAAACTGAGGCACAGAGAGATTAAGGAGTTTGCTCCTGGTCACCCAGCACTATTCATCCAGGCTTTTCTGTCTCCCTTATAGGTAGACCATAGTTACAAGGTGGTTGGGAGGATTAAATGAAGCCATGCATGAGAGAGCTTTTAATAACCGGAAAGGACAGGTGGTGCCCTCCTGTTGCCACTGGACAGGTGGGGAAACCGAGGCCCAGAGAGGTTGAGAGGCTTTCCCAAATCCTAACAGCAAATAAGTGATGAGGCCCAGGTAGAGGCTGGTTTTCTGGCTACTCAGCCCAAGGCCAAGGTGGGGTGGGGTGGGGTTCTGGGAGCCAGGAGCTCCTGTGGCTGCTGCCGGGTGCAGGAGGGGACCAGGGTCCCTGTTTCCCTGTTCGGCCTTCTCCTTGGCCTCCCCCAGAGCTGGTCCGGGAAACCACTGCTGGTCACCTGGCGCTGCTGGTCACCAAGAACCTTTCCATGTTTCCTGGGAACCCCGAGCGCTTCTCCGAGGGCAGCATTGACGTCTGGTGGATTGTGCATGACGGAGGTATGCTCATGCTGCTGCCTTTCCTGCTGCGGCACCACAAGGTGAGTGTGCGTGCGTGTACGTGTGCGTGTCCACGTGCGTGTGCGCACGTCCATGGGCGAGGCTCATGGGCTCTGGCCAGGGCCGGCCTCCGTGTGTGAGCTCCTGGGAAAGGGATACGATCACCTCCTTCGTTCTGAGATGTTAGGAACTGACTGTGTCTCCCTTGTAGGGGTCCTTGCATTGTAAAGGAGAGCCATGCTTAACCCAAGCAAGTGACACCTTAATGGGGGACCCCTCACCTAAGCAGGGGAGTTTTTGTAGGGAGTGGCCGCTGAGATAGAGAACTCAGGTCTGCGTATATGTGTGGCAAGGTGGGTAGGAAGGGTGAGTGACAGGGTCCTCTCTAGGTTCTGGCTCTGGATGTCTTCCCTGCAGCTGGGCTGGACTTCTCGGGTTCCCTTCTCCCCTTCAGGTCTGGCGGAAATGCAAGATGCGAATCTTCACGGTGGCCCAGATGGATGACAATAGCATCCAGATGAAGAAGGACCTGACCACATTTCTGTACCATTTACGTATCACTGCAGAGGTCGAGGTGGTGGAGATGGTGAGTCCCCAGGAGCCACCCCTGAAGTTTTGGAGCCCCAAACACCTGGTTCTTACACCCATTAGGGCAACCCCAACCATCAGCTTATGATGCTGGATCAGTTCCCTCCTATCCACTTCTTAGCCGCTCCCACATTCACCCAAGAGTCCGTCCATCCACCCATCCACCATCCACCCATCCATCCATCCACCTATCCATCTGACCCTCTCTCCTTTATAAGAATAGCCATGTCCAATAGTGCTTATGATAGGTGAGGCACTGTTCTATGTACTTTATATATATTGCTTCTCATAGCAACCAATGAAATAGATACAGATATCAGCGTTTCTATTTTAGGGAGCGGAGGCACAGAAAGGTCATATCATTTGCCCATCAATGCACACTGAATAGAACCGGGGTTCAAACCCAGGCAGGCTGGCTCTGGGATCACTATGAGTATATAGCCTTTCATCCATCCACTCCCTTCAGTTTATTTATCCATCCACCCATCTCTCTGTGTGTTCATTAATCTACCAATATATTCATTAATGTATTCATTCACTCACCGATCCATTCATTCATGCATGTATTCATTCATCCCTTTGTTTCTCTTTTATTTCATCCCCTTTTCCATTCACCTAGGTCATGCATTCATTCACCCATTCATATGGCCAGTCCTGTGCTGGGCTGAGGAGAAAATGAGCTGCATTGCGTTCAAGGAGCATCATTTTTGCCTACCACAACTGTTCATTAAACTAGGTCATTGGATAGGGAAGCCCTAGGTTGGCAGAAGGAAGGGGGCCCGCCTCCCCTCCCTGGGCCTTGCAGCTGAGCTCACAGCTCATGCTTTTCTCCCTTGTCCCTCACCCCGCCCCCTCCCCTGCCTGCCCACAGCATGAGAGCGACATCTCAGCCTACACCTACGAGAAGACATTGGTGATGGAGCAGCGGTCCCAGATCCTCAAACAGATGCATTTAACCAAGAACGAGCGGGAGCGGGAGGTGAGGTTTCCCTGGCTGGGCTCTCAGAGCATCAAGCTGCTGCCAGCTCTGTGTCTGCACAGGTTGGGGCTGGCACTCCCGGCCATTGGCACTGTCACCTTCACCAAGAGCATTACTCATCACCCCTATTCCTCCTGGCACTGAGCTCCCCAGCAGTGGGGTTATACACTGCAACTGCACCTACCAAGCCTTCCAGCCAGGAGTCAGAGGGGCGGTGACATGGGTGACATATATTCCCCTCTGTGTGTGACTTCTGGGGCCCAAGGGGAAATAGTGGATCCTAAATATGTATGGATGATAGATGGGGTGCCAGTGTAGGAGACAAGGGATCATGTGATAGCCCCTCAGAAAGTGGGTAACAGATAGATATTTATGGATATAGCTGATGGTGGGAGTTAGGGGCAAACTTCCAAAGGCGTGGTGGATGGGTTCTCAGGGGTGAGGATGATCAGCCTCCCATAGGGTATGGGCGTAAGATCTCCCAGGTGGGGGTAGTGTGGGACCACTAGTCTTCTGGAGTTTGGATGAAAGCCCCACCCCAGGGAGTGGGGTCCTTGGGGAAATGAATGATGGTACACTGGGGCTGGAGACAGAAAAGCTGTCGGAGATGGGGGACAGGTTCCCTGGGGAATGGGTGGCAGATCCTATAGGTGAGGGTGACAGACCATGGTTGATGGGTCTCCCAGGTGTGGATAATATATTTCTCAGGTAGTGGTTGATGGATCCCCAGGGGAATAAGTGATGGGTACCTGTTCGAGCTGGGAAAGATAGACCCTCCCAGGATGTTATCCAGAGGTGACAGCAAAAATTGTAAGAAAGGCATATGCGCTGAACATTCAGAACTGACACTGGACCATAGAGCTAAGGTGGAGCCCTGCAGGGCCATGTGTTAATCCTTTGGTTGCCAGATGGTGAGGGGGTGAGGGGTTCTGGAGAGGAGTTGGAGTGGCCAGGTCAGTGGGCAATAGCTGTGTGGTATGGAAACACTGCAGTGTTTTAACAACTGGTACAGTTCCTGAAAGCGTGCATCCTGGCTGAACGTCAGCTCTGGTGGTAGCTTTTTGCAGGGCATGTGTGGTGACTCCCAGCAGAGCTGGCACCAACCTTTGTTACTCCCTAGATCCAGAGTATCACAGATGAGTCTCGCGGCTCAATCCGGAGAAAGAATCCAGCCAACACTAGGCTCCGCCTCAACGTCCCAGAAGAGACCGCTGGTGACAGTGAGGAGAAACCAGAAGAGGAGGTGTGCAGCTGGGTGGTTTGGCCCCAGCCCGTGGGAGCAGAACCTCCAGCCTTCAAAGGAGTCACGTGCTGTCCCTTCATTCATCCCTCAGGTGCAGCTGATCCATGACCAGAGTGCTCCCAGCTGCCCCAGCAGCTCACCGTCCCCGGGGGAGGAGCCCGAGGGGGAGGGCGAGGCAGATCCTGAGAAGGTGCACCTCACCTGGACCAAGGACAAGTCGGTGGCAGAGAAGAATAAGGGCCCCAGTCCCGTCTCCTCTGAAGGCATCAAGGACTTCTTCAGCATGAAGCCGTATGGGCCTAGGGACTAAGGGCTAGGGTCTGGGGTGAGCCTACAGGGTCTTTGCTCCTCATGGCAGAGCAAATGAGCAGAATGGGTCCCGGGCTGGCAGTCGGAAGACCCAGTCCAGACCTTGTCTTGGTTCCCCGATCTGAGGACTCAGGGATGGGGCCTGATTGCTAAGGGTCAGAACTACCAGGTGCAGGCAGTGGAACGGTGAAGGCTGCAGGGGCTGGGAGAGCAGGACCACTATACGTTTAGGGCAGATTATGGTGGCTCAAGTGCTTAGCGTCTCCCGCTTTTTCTGACCCCTCTCTTTTTCTTCCTCTCTTTGCTACTCTTGTGTTTCCTGAAGGGAGTGGGAGAACTTGTAAGTGCTTCAGAATTTTTTATTCTCTCTCCTGGGTTGGCCAGGGTCCCTACTCTCCTCACGCTATCATGAACCTTCAACTTGTGACCCCTGACCTCTGGGGCCTCTGAGTAACCCAGCTTGGAAAGGTCTGGGGTTTGTGGTCCCCGGTTTGCAAGGATTGCGTCTCAGCAGCCCAGTGCACCTGGATCCAGCTCTCCCCTCTCCCGGGCTCATGTGCCCTCCTCTCCTCCTTCCCGCAGGAACCAATCCAACGTGCGGCGCATGCACACCGCCGTGCGGCTGAATGAGGTCATCGTGAAGAAATCCCGGGACGCCAAGCTTGTTTTGCTCAACATGCCTGGGCCTCCCCGCAACCGCAACGGTGACGAAAATTGTATCCTGTTCTTACTATTGGGGGGAAGAGGGAGGCGGACGTCGGGGGACCTAGGTTCTAGTCCCGGGATGGAAGAGCTGAGCCGGTCCTGCTTCAGGATCAGCACCTCGGACAGGGACGAGGGCCCCGCGTGTCCCGGCGGACCGACGCGACCCCATTCCATCCCGAGGGAAGGGCACGGGTCTTTCTCCTTGACCGGCGCTCAGACATGGAGTTCCTCGAGGTCCTCACCGAACACTTGGACCGGGTGATGCTGGTCCGCGGCGGCGGCCGCGAGGTCATCACCATCTACTCCTGAGAACCAGGACCTGCCCCCCGGGGCCCCAGAGCGCCCGGCCCGCGGCGGCCCCGGAGCCCTGCCGCGCCCCCCGCCGCTGTCACCGTTTACATTCAGACCCCGTGCCCGCGCCCCGGCCCCTTTCCCCGCTTCCTGAGGTCCGGAGGCCGCGTCCATCGGGGTTGACTCGGAGAGGCCCTCCCTCCACGCGAACACCAGAGCCCCGGGCGCCCCGTTGGCGCGCCGCCCTGTCGCCCCGGCTGCGCTGCCCTTTTTCTAAGCCGGGCCTCGCCTCGCCGGAGGAGACGCTGCAATAAAGGGCGGGAGGAGGCGCGGACGGGAGCCGGGGCTTTGAGGACCGCCAGGTAGCCCGCGCGGCCCCCGCCCCGCCCCGCGCGCCCCGCCCCTCCCGGCCCTGCTCTGCGCCCCTCCCGGCCCTGCGCTTGGCTCCACGCGGCCCGGCGGGCGCGGGGTGGGGCGGCCGCGCTCGGCCTCCTCTGCCGCCCCTCCTCGCGGAGCCTTGGGGCGCGGGGCCGGCCGAGCCTGTACATAGTGTACAGGAGACATCGCGTGTATTTTTAACGTCCCCATATTTCTGTGACTAGACGCGCAACGGACTTCTCTCGCTACTGTCGAGCTCCCCCCTCGCTGGGGGCGCCCGGGGCGGCGGAGGCCTCGGGAGGCTGCGTTTTCCTGGACGTCCATGAGTATGAGAGCAAAAGTGCTTTAGGCCCAGGCGGGAGTCGTGGTCCGGTCCTTCGACACCCTCGCCCCGCTCTCTCCTCCTCGCCCTTTCCGCGCGCCCTTGGCTCCGACCCTTTCCTCTAGTTCTTTTCGGAGATGAGGTGAGACGAGTGTCCAGCTTTTCCTGGATTCGCCTCCCAGAGGATGTGAGCTTCCACTGCGGCTGCAGAGACGCGCGCAGCCTTTTCTCCTCTGCTCTTATGCAAGCTGGGGCCAGGATGGGGTAGGGGGACGCTCCTCAGGGGGAGAAAGGGAGAGAGGCCTCGCCTCACCCGTGCCTTCGCTGGGGGAGCAGGCGTCTCTCCTCAGTCGGCTTGTCGCCTGCTCCCCCATCCCATGGCTCCTCGCCAAAGACTGAAATCGGGGAGCTGGAGGGCGTCCCCTCCCCCGAGTTTCTTCCCTGGGACAAGTGATGGAGGACGGGGGCGATTTTGGTGTAGGGGCCTTACTTACGGGGAGGCCCCAGCGCGGCGCCTGATGTTCCCTCCCCCGTCCCCATCCGGCAGCTGGCAGCTCCAGCGTCGGGGACCGAGCCACCTTCTTCGCGTCCCAGGGCGGGCCTCGCTGCTTAGCAGCGGCCTCTAGCTGCGTCTCGCAGGCACCTGGGCCTGGGGAAGGGCTGGAGTTGCCATGTGCTTTGTTCTTAGAGCCTCTCTGCCCTCCTCCAACTAGGACCCAAGGCCCTTTGGCTTCTCTAACTCCAGTCCTTGGCGCTTCTACTCCACCGGCCTGGGCAGAGGCGCCCTCTATCTCCACAGAAGGCGCATTGGCCAGGTTCCCTTCCCCCAGGGCACATTACTAAGGGGGACAGGCACTGCATGCGCAGTCCAGCACCCTCTGGGACTGGGTACAGTACCTCCAGCCCCAGCGCCCTGATCTCCCCACCTAGACATCCTGCCCACTTCCCAGAGCTGGGGCTACTGGGGACTTTTGATCTCACCACCTCCTTTTCTTTGAGCCCAAGGCAGAGAGCTGGAGCTGGTGCCATCTAGACTGGGTCAGGTGTGGTTGGAGGTAGGTCTGGATGTAGGCTAAGGCCCCTCTGAGATTTGATCAGGAGCTGGATAGATTTTTCCAGGTAGTCATCAGGAAGTTGGAGATACTAGACACCAGCCCCCCCTCCCCCACAGACCGCTGAGAATCGCAGCTGGGTCTTGCCTTCCACAGGCCTGACCATTCGGGCTGAAGTGCTGGGCTGGGCAGAAGCGGGAGGGGGCTGCATCAACACCAATTAGGGAACCAAAGTTGCACTGTCGGGTTGGCAAGAGCAGTTTCCGTTGATGAAAACAAACATCCCACAACCACCACCCAAGTTTTCTGTTACATGTGCAATATTTGTTATGAATGTTATCACGTCATCCATCAAATTATCTTTATAATCATTGTAGCTAGATGTTTCATGTCCATCCAAGTGACTTTTACTCTGAGTGCAATATTTCAATAGCCTTGTAGTGGTAACTAGTGTTGCTTTCGTTTTAGATATCTACGTGCAGGGCAATGCAATGAAGTTGAAAACCCTTGTAAATAGGAGAGGTTGCAAACCAAATCAAGAGTATTTATTACTATTATTAGGCCTGCCTTTAATTTTCAGTGTGTTTCAGTATCCTGCATTCTGCCTCAGTATTGATCTTGTGTTTTTTTGTGCCAATATGAAAAGGAGAGGGTTGGTTCTTTCCTTTATTGTTGAATGCTCCCATTTAATGCTTTACAGCTTTTACTGTATTTTTTAGATTCCCGTCTGCACAAAATGCAATAAAAATAATTTTATTATACCCTTCCCAGTCTGAGGTGTGCTGTTTGGACATGCAAAGGGGGGGAGGAATTAGTAGGTGGGAGGAGGGATACTCAACGTGGCTTTCCAGGAGGACCCCCGACTCTTTATGGGCAACAGTGAGCTCCACTGACAGAAGCGGGAGGGGCTGACCCTGTAGGTCTGGTTGCCTCGTTGGAGTACTATTTCTGGGGCCCTGTCCTAGAGGGAGCAGGGGCTAGGAGAGACAGCACTGCACTAACATCTCCTGTGAGGGGGTGAGCACTGACTAGTCAGGTTGTGCTGTCTACATTTTGGTCCCTAACCCACTCGGGGGCCTTCTGCCCGTCACTTCACCATGCCCACCCACCCCAAGTTTCCTGATAGGGCCAGCTATTAAATGCTCTCTAAGGCTCCTATAACTCTATGGTTCTGCCAACTCCCTGCATAATGGGCAGAACAGCGGGTGGCAACTGAGATAAAATCCAAACAGGAGAGTGCCCCACTCCACTGGCCATCAGCCAGAAATGGACTCCTCATGGTCCTGTTTTGCTTTCCCAGAATGAGAGGACAAGCCTGCTGACACATTGAAAGTCTACCACAAATAAGGATGTTTAACCCAGCATTATAATTAGCCAGCAGGCTTTTGCTCTGAACTGTTATTAAAGCTTCTAACTAGGTGAGCTGAGTGAGAGGAGAAGCTAAGGGCTGAGAGGTTTTGAGGCCTGAGCACAGGCTGAGGACGAGGGGGCAGGCCTCACAGCAGACAGAAACCAGCCACCTTCCGACCCTGAGTGGGAATGCCCCGCAAAGAGGTCCTGCAGGTGGTCACACCCAAAAAAGATGACACAGCTTTTACTTTTTCATTTTAATTAAAAAGTAATCATCTCATCTTATTAATAACACAAGAGTTCCAAAGAGGGAGAAAACACTATATAACACAAACAGGTCAGAACGTAAAATGCTGCCATCTGGGGACCTTGAGGTTTTGAAACCACTGTTTGCTCTGCCACTGGCAGGGACTCAAGCTGAAGTCACTGCTCTCCCTCGTCCCTGCCAGGGGCCCCTTGAGACTGTGACCCACAGTGCTCTCATGAGCACCATCCCTAGGGAGAAGGCAGTTTCCTTGGGCTCCAAATGGCAGAAGTCTTCCAAGAATTTCACTCTGGCTCCCAAGTTATCGACAGCCACCTGTATCCAGAACATGTCCAGCTACCAAAAGTCTGACATCAAAATGGTCCCTACCTCCCGCTACTCAGAAAACAGAGCAAGAGTCCAGGTGAAAACAAGAGCCTGATTTCTGAGCCAAAAGCCCAAATTATCACTGGAAAAACAAAAGGGTGTTCACTGCCAGAGTCTAGAGTTACCATCTCAGATCCGACTCCATCAAACTGCCACTGGGCAGGGAGAGGCTGACAAGGGTTAAGGGAGTAGAGTGGTTGGGGCCCAGAGTCAGTTTGTGTTAAACTGCTGGTGACTGGAGCTGTTCAGTCCATTGGAGATCCTCCAATGAAATGAAAGCAAAAACGAAAACAGAAAACCCAAAACCAACACCCCGGGTCAGGCAGAAAAGCACCTGCTCTCATGTCTGCCATGGGCACTCCTCAACAACTCCACAGTAGCTGATTCACGAATCCTCAAGCAGACCCCCCAACATGGGGGGTGGGGCATGATGACATGATGCCCGCCAAGCCCAGGCAGCTGTACAACCCTGGGCAGCAGTAGCAGCAGGAGCTCGCGCTCCGGTTGTCCTGTGCGAGGCTGGAAAGTCACGGTAGGTTCACACTGAACAAAGACAGTGGCTATTACATGGAAATGCCATTGCAAACTCAGCCAATTGGGGCTGGGCTGCCCCCCACCCCAGGCCAGCTGACAGAGACCAGAGAAACCCATGAAATATAAACTGAGCCCAGACACCTATACTGCCACCCAAGTGACCCCAAAGATATTTATTTTCTACAAAAAAAAACCCAAAAACAAAAAAAGACACACCCCCAAATGCAGTATAAACTCTTGACTCTGGAAGGAATAAGCAACACGCCTTGGGCAGAAGAGAGCAGGTGGTAGAAACTTCTGACACTTGATGTGGACCTGGGTAGGCGCAGAGAACATCCTCCAAATAACTCTAGTTAGAATGCAACAGGTGGGAGGTGGCCAGGGGCGAGGGGGCTGGGGTAGCTGAGCGACCGAGCCTCAGTAATGCCTCTGATAAGATGCCATGGGCGCCTGGGGCTGCCCCACCTGTGCTGTGGTTTGGCTAACCAGGTGGGAGAGAGCAGGGCCACTCTGGATCAGGGTGTCCAGAGCCTTCTGTACACTTGGATTGTCAAAGTTGATACCCGTGGAAGACACAGGCCTCTGGCTGGCTATGTTGCTGGCAGGTGCCAGGCGACTGGAAGGCTGGCCAAAGAGCCCTTGGGAAGGAGACCCAGGCCTGGGGCCCATGTTCTGAGCAGATCCTGCCTGTCCCAAAATGTTTGGAGGCTGATTGCCAGAGGCCTGTGATCTTTGCTGAGGCTGGCTGTTTGCTGCTGTGGAAAAATTCTGGTTCTGGGTGTTTCCGGCAGCAACCGAAGGGGATGCAGAGCTGCTATTGGCCGCAACCGTGCCACTGTTGAAGAGGCTGAGGATTTTGGCCTGAAGCTCTTGCTGGGAGGTGGGGGGTGCAGCTGGAGTGGGTGTAGCAGAGGGGAGCACTTGGCCGCTCTGGAGCGGTTGGGAGCTTGGCTGTGTCTTCAGCGAGGCACCCGAGGTCGCCCCGAGTGATTGGCGGGAAATCGGGCCTGGAAGACAGAAGGAGGAGGTATCTGGTTGGAAGTACCCACCGTGGGCAGGAGGCTTAGCAGCCCAGGGAAGAACAACAATCACTGATCACATCAATCACACAATACAAACACTGCAACGTCAATTTCCCAAAGGGGGCACTTCATTGTATACGCTGTCTCCAAAGACAGCCTAGTTCCCCAGAGAAGTATTATACTTAAAGAAACAAAGGCATCCACCTTGGTCACCAGGGAGCCAGCAATACCAGTCCACCCACCACCACAGTAACTACAAGGATCAGAATTCTGTGCCCAAATCTTAAGTTATCATTATATCGGCACGAAGGCCCCTCGGCAAACCCAAGGGATGGGCTCGTTTCCCTTACCCGCCCCTAAGAGCCCTGGGCTGCCACCCTCCCAACGGAGCCGGGGGATTAGAGAAATGCAGAGTCAGAACTTCACCTCGGCCCCGCCACGTAGCTCACCAGGCAGAGAGTCGGTGCTACTCCTCATAAGCCGCTCCTTCCTCTCGCGCAGGTAGTTGATGATCTTGTCAGTCTCTTCGGCCGTGAGGTACCTGTTGTCGGCCAGCAGGTTGATGAGGCTTTGGATGGCTGCAGGGTGGCCGCCTCGCTCTCTTTCCTGGAGAATGGCTTCATTGGCCATCTTGGCTGCCTGTCTGGCAATCTCCTCACGTTCCTTCTCCCGGCATTCATTCTTGTAGCGCTCATAATTTCTGGCCACCAGCACCATGGCGTCTGCCTGGGGCATGTTGCGGTGCTCTGCAGGAGGGAAGGACATGAGTTGTTTTCTCCCACAGCACATTGCAGGGCCCACCTGCTGGACTCCACCAAGCGTTTCATAATCTCAAACCAGCAAGAAAACCATTTCAGTGACAAAAAGCCTTGGGGTGGAGGAAGGGGAGGGGAGGGGTAAGAGGTGAGGTTGGGAAGATAGGTGAGTGGGTTTCTTTGGCGGGGAACACACACCTTTGTACAGAGCTGGTTCTTTGAGGAATTTCTAGATCAAAGACTTGTAGTAAAAACCAAAGCAACATGACAGTCTCCCACAGATTCACAAAAACCATGTGGGGAATAACCATGGGAGGCAGGCTGCAGGGGGTCAAAAAGCCCTTCTGTAAAGGCTGGCTCTCCACTGTGCTTCTCAGGATAGAGCTGATCTACTGTTTTTGAATTCATCAGTTTAAAGGTCACGGATTAAGACCAAACTGTGACCCTAGATAAAACCTCCTCTCCTCACGTTGGGCAACATGACTTCCAGAGCGGTGAGAAGGCTTCCTCAGAGGTTTATATAAACGTCCTCACACATCTGACTAGTCCTCAGAGACAAACGACCCACTGGAGAGCCTTATGTATTTTATGGTTCTGGGTGTAACGGTCAGGCAAACAGAGATCCTGAGTGTGGTGGGAAAAGGGGAAAGTCTGTGCTGTAAGACAGGGAATCAATTTGCTGAGTCTCAACAGTCTGGGCGCAAAGCGCTAAAAGCCACTCAGGGAAGGCCTTCCAGGAAGCTAGCCAGGCCTCTAGGAGGGCCTCTGCCCACTTCCCCAGCACTCTGACCAACAGAATCCTAACTGCCTGCTGCATTCTCTGTCCCTCATTAGAACGTGGTGCAAGTCCTACCGCACACAGTAGAGCACGCACCAGAGGTGTACTGGAACCTCTCCCTGGCAAGAGCCAACTGTATCCAGCTCTTCCCAACATCTCTTCCCAACGTGAAGTGACTTCACGTTGGTGGCTTGAAATAGGACACGGTGAGAGTATTTACACCATGGAAATAGCAACTGCTATAAACCACACCGCCCCCATGTCCCCACTCAGAACTGGTTGTTAAACATTGGCCAGCACACCACTGTACACACCTAAGGGCTAAATATAATGTCTTATTTATAGTAGGTCCAGACCTGCGCTCATTAAAATAATACCAGACGAATAAATGACTATGTAAGTCTCCTCCAGTGCACTTATCAAGAGGCCCTACCATATGTGAGCTGAAATATGAGTCATTTGCCCAAAACCTGCTTCTTCTGGGTAAGGCATAAAATAATTAATCGACTAGTGACTACCTCTGGAATTCTGACCCACTTGGGCCTCCGTACCTTGTGGGGTTCCAAACATGATGTTGACTGTACAGGAACGGTGAATCTGGTGTTGCTGGGTGATGACAATAGCAAAAGGAGACCCTCCCCTGCTAACATCCTCCAAGGCTTGTGACAGTGAAACCTCTGTGTTGAGGAAGATCAAGTCCACTACCATGCCTAGGTCTCGCACCTTCCGCCCCACAGATTCAGCATAATCTCTGTAGAAACACACAGGATCCAGGTGAGCACCCCCGACCACCTCCGCCAGCTGTGTGTGCCCCCACGGGGAGTTCAAATCCTAGCCCACCCAGGGTCTCTTCAGGCTCCAAGGATCTAGACCACTTCCCGCTCTGTATACTGGCTCAGAAGGGTCACATATTAAGTTACCAGTATCGCAGTATTTAGTGGCCGGGTCCTTCTCTTATTCTCTAGCCCACTGGTCTTTTCTTAACACCATCCCCTGCCTAAGATTGTGGCACCTGTCTGTCTTTGGGGCGGCTATATAACATCGTGGACAAAGCACGGGCTTTCATGCTAGAAAGAAGGGTTTGGATTCCAGCCCTAACATTTACTTGCAAAGTTGTGAAGCTTTTAGTAGATCCCTTTATCCCTTCCAAACCTGTTTCTTTACCAATAAAATAGGAATAATATGGCTCAGCTCCTATGTCATTCCCTTGACCTTCTCTCTCCAATCGAAATTAGATCCTTGATATATTTCTTCTTAAAGAACTCATCGCCAAGACATTTATTTTTGTCATCTGCCCAACTAGGGTGTAAACTCCACAAGAGGAAGGGCTGGTGTGTCTGCTTACCATTACAGCCCCGGTACCTAGCACCTGCCATACGTACAAAAAATTTGCTGAATAAGTAACACATATAACGTGACCGTGAAGATTAGAAATAATTTAAGTAAAGCACCTAGCATGGGGTAGTAGAGTAGGTGCTCAGAAAATGATAGCTATTATCATGTGTCAAAAAACAACAAACCATGTCTACAGTTAAAGCAGCACCTATCGCTAAACAAGGCAGCACTGAGCCTGTGAATTCTGCCTGCTGCTCGGTGTCTCAACACCTCGTTCTCTAGCCTCTGCCTTGAAATTAGCTCTTTAACCCCAAACTGCTAGAAATACATGAAGTTATTTACTAATCACCTGGGGAAAGGGAACATAGCTACTGCCAAGCCTGCAAGCTGCTATATTCCCTTTTGCTTCTCTGTTTTGTCTCCTGCAGGCAAGAATGTAAAACCGAGGTAGAATAAAACGGTGCTGTGAGCTCTAGATTGACTAGCATGGTCACCCACAGTTCTGTGAAGCCACAGCACCTCCTCAGGAAGGCTTGGCACTAGGCTGACAAATGCAGAGAGACATGTGCCTCCCAAAGTATTGGGGATTCGGGTTGTTTCATGGAGGGGGGCATCTACAGCTATATTCCTGCTTCAGTTTTCCTTTGGGAAGGCACCCCCTCACTCAGCCCATGTGGTTCCACAGCGCTAATCCCACTTTTAGCTCTAGGCATGGGAAAGTGAGCCAGGACAATCCAATGAGAAACAAGTCCAGGCCTTTGGGTGGAAGCACTGGGAAGGAAAAACTCTCTTGCGACTGGGTTTGCTAAGCCAAGAAGATACATGTCTAGGGCCAGTGGCATTCTACCTTTGCAAGGAGAAAGCTGTCTGAGAATGAAGGCAACACAGAGATGACAACACAGTTTGACCCTGGATGAGGCCATGACTGAGCTTCCCAGCCAAGCAAACTAAAAATTTCCCTTTGGGGCCTACGCTAGTGTGCAATGGGTTTTCGGTCACCTAAAACTCGGGCTAAGACAGCATAGCATGGCCAGAATGCACAGACCAATGCAGTGTGTACAGCTGCCAAGAGGGAGCCTGAATTTCTCTTCTGACCCTTCTCCTTACTCAGGAGAGATATCCAAAGGGCTCTTACTTAGTCTGCTTGTTGACCACAATCACAGAACAATCAACGGGCCTCTCAGCATCGAAGCGTCTCTGGATTTCTTCAAAATATTGACGATAAAGCTCTTCTCTACGCCGTTCTTCACGTTTCAAACGCTCTGCAAGATACCACCAGGGAAAGCTGAAATATGAACAGTGCTTTCTCACAAACCTTATTCTAAATCCTGAGCTACCGGTAGGCAAAGGTCATAACTCTCTCTGAATTAATTCTCTAGACTACCTTCTAAAAATAACCAGTTATTATTTTTCACTATTAGAAATTCACTGAAATGGAATAGTTGGATTCAAGGGCATGGTCATTTGAATGCCTCATCTAATACATACTACCACACTGCCCTCTAGAAAAACTCGTAACTAATTTATCACCCAGTGCTACTTCCCCACATCTTCGTCAACACTGGGTACTGCCATTTAAAAAAATTCCCACCAACTTGACAGGTAAAAGATGCTATTTTGTCATTATTCCAATTTGCATTTTGGGGACAACTACTTAAGACCCTTTACTGACAGGTGCTTATAATTTGCTTTTTTTGAAAAAAAAAAAAATTCAGGTAGTCAAGTTTTATTACAAATTAAAAATGAGGTTTTTAACTTGATCAGGTATGAAACAATTTAAAAATCTTCAAAGATGTGTTGAGAAAACTAAGCTTTTAAAAAACATGTTTGCCTTTACCTAAAAATTATAAATGTAGGTAAAAATTATAAATAAGACAAAAAATCCACATGCTATAGAGATAGTGCAGATACTTGTAGTTATTTGGTCAGCGGGTAAAAAGCAAGCACTTGACTTCTTTGGCTCCAATCTTTTGTTCATTTCATTGCTGGAATTTCACATATATTTCTTCTTGTTAGATGACTAAACCAGATGATGATACTAATTTGCATTTAAAAAATTATTCTCCAGCTGAATGGTCTCTCCATATTAACAGATTATTTGTATTTCTTCCGCCTGTGAACTGCTTAGCCAAGTCATTAGTCCCTTTTCAGTTAGTTATTAGTTTCCTCTTTATTTTGTAAAGTGTTCTACCAGGAATAGGAATAAACTGTTTCTGCTACTTTACCTTTTGCACGAGACTGACTTTCTGGGCCTGGAGGGCCTCGTCCATCAAAGCTATCTCTGTAACGATCAAAGTAAGGCTCATCCTTTCTCCTGCAATAGTCATCCATTCGCAGGTATCGATCATAAGAGCTTTCTCTCCTGTCAAGTTAAAGAAATTTGCAGAAAGTTAAAACTGCCCTTCCTATCCTGCAAAAATCAGATATAGATAATTCTTCAAAACCCAGTCCCCTGTGAGAATGTAGGCACAGTAAGGCACAGGATTTTGGGATTAGACAAACGAGGTTTGAACAGGCATACCTTGAAAATTGCGGGTTCGGATCTAGATCACCGCAATAAAGCAAGTATCGCAATAAAGTGAGTCATGATCTTTTTGCTGGTGGAGAGTCTTGCCTTCAATTTGTAAAAATCACAATGTCTGTGAAGCGCAATAAAGCGAGGTATGCCTGTGTCTGGGACTCACTGCTTATCAGCTCTGCGGCTGCGACTGAGTTAACCTGCCTTGCAAAATGACTGGGAAGATGTACAGAAAGCTCTCAGCATAGTTCCTGGCATAAAGTAAACACAAAATAACTGGCAGCAATTATTGATATCAATTTTGAGGAACCATTCCATGCTCCCCTTCCCCTGTCCCTGTGCTTTTTAAAAATTAGAGTTAAAAATATATATAATTTTTCATCACCCTGAGCAGAACACTCTGAACACAAGCTCTACACTCATTAGCCGTAACTCTTCATCCCCCATCCCCGTGACCGCTAATCTACTTTCAGTCTCTATGAATTTGTTCTTTCTAGATATTTTATGTAAGTGGAATTATACAATATTTGTCTTCCGTGGCTGTCTGGCTTCTTTCACTTAGCATAATGTTTTCAAGGCCCATCCATGTTGTAGGTGTCAGAATTACCTTCCTTTTTATGGCTGAATAATATCCTACCATATAGATATATCACATTTTTTATCCATTCATCTATTGATGGACATTTAAGTTGTGTCTACGTTTTGGCTAGTGTGAACAGTGTTGCTATGCAAATTCATGTGCAAGTATCTGTCTGAGTCCCTCTTTTCAATTCTTTTGGGTATACTCATGAGTGGAACTGACGGCTCATAGTAATTCTACTATATTTAACTTTTTGAGAAATTGCCAAAATGTTTTCCATAGTGGCCACACTATTTTACATTCCTACCAGTTCTCTACACCTCACCAACATTTGCTAGTTTCTGTTCTTAAAAAAAAAAAAAAAAAGATGGGGGTCGGCTGAGTGGCGCGTTGGTTAAAAGTTGGCTTGGGACGCCAGCTCTGAGCAGCAGGGCCCCAGTTCAGATCCCACTTGAGGGCCAGTGACACTGCCCTCTACAGCTAAGATGGTGAACAACAGCTCAACCTGGAGCTGGGCTGCTGTGAGTCACTGGAGATGGCGTAGGCTGTAGCCCCTGCTGCAGTGGGCTGCCATAAGCTACTGCGTGTCGGCGGCAGCCGGTATGAGCTGCCATGAGCCACCGTGAGCGGCCGCCGACCGATCTGCCTCACCCAGGAAGAGCGCAATGATAATAACAACATGGGCCAGTGAAGCAACGTCCTCCACAACTAGACTGAAGAACAAAAGGAGAGCAACTTGTCCGTTCCCCTCCCCCAATTCCCCAATTAAAAAAAAAAACTAAAAAAAAATGAATTAGTCATCCTAGTAGGCATGAAGTGATACCTCACTATGGCTTTGATTTGCATTTCACTGACGATTAATGATGTCGAGCATCTTTCCACGTGTTTACAGGTCATCTGTGGATCTTCCCTGTGCCTCTGCACTGTCAAAACAATGTGCACTCCATCTTTTCTCCATTTGTACAATGTTGCCTTTCACAGGCCACAGGGAGAGACCCAAATTCACTTGGTAAGCATAATTAATCAAACATTCACACACTCAGAGTGTCTACCACTTGATACTGGAAACAGAAGGCTGATCAAGTCACTGCCCTTCAGAGCTTTAGTTAGTTCAGCAGAACACATGTGAAAAAGACCGCTACAAAAACACAAGCCGAATGCTGTATCTGTACCTGTACATGGGGTCGCGAGAGTCGCGCATCTCTCGGTATCTGTCGTACATGGGGTCCCGGTGATCTCGAAAATCCCTAGTGTCTCTTAGATCACGAAAGTCTCTAAGGTCCCTCATGTCCCGAGCATCACGCAGACTTCTGTCTCTGTGGTCACGGACATCTCTGCTGTCTCTGTGGTCCCGCAGGTCTCGGGGGTCTCGCATGTCTCTGCTATCCCGGGCATCCCGGCCATTTCTGCCATCCCTGGGCTCTCTCCTTGGACTTCCTCGAATTGGGGATCGATCACGTCTTGTTTCTCGACTGTCTCTAAAGGCAAATGGATCTCTGTGGGAGGTAGCAAGAAGAGGATAAGACAAAGAAATGGAAGGCAGCTACCCTTTCAGCTCTTCATTGGAACAAGCCCCCACCCTCCAAGCGTGTTTCTCTAAAACCTGGCAGCCAAACAGTGAGAACATGACTACAATTTTAAGGACAGTCACCCAACTGGTCGGCAAATAAAGACTAGGAGGTTCTAGAATCTCAAAAACTTAGGACAAAGGAAGAATGTATGACCCAAAGCTAAAGGTTTTGACTGGGGTCCTAGTATTTATCAGGCTTCAGGGAGTAAGTAATTCAGTATTCCTTATGCAGGCCAAACGATCCCAATCTCAACAGGTTTCAGAGTGAAAGCGTCTTTCCCCTAGAACCTATTTCTCCCACCAGACTTGTCTGAAAAAGATTTTAAAAGGGGGGGAAAGCTGAGGGGTCATAGTAAGGGGCAAGACTCTGGAAGAAAAAAAAGAGCAAATAGTATAATCTCACACAAAGTAATGGTGATCAAAGGAGATGTCCTTCAAGTGCAGAAAAACTTCACTTAAAATATCTAGCAGGATAATCAAATTAAGAGAAAAGGGAAAAGTACAATGCAACATACACAGAAAAGTGTATGTCTTCTGTCTTCTCAACACAGTTGCTGAGTAACAGTCTCTCTCAGTCTGAGGTTTATGTAGAACCTGGGTCCTTTCTGCCATGGTTTGTTTTCCTAAACAATGAAGTCACAGGTATGTTTGGCCTGATGACTCAGTTCTCTTCACGAGACATTCTGCTCCACTGGAAACTCACTCAACCTCAACATATCTAATATTAAACTTCTTATTCAACTCATAGTCTGATTCCTGACTTTTTCACTTCTGCCAAGAATCATCTTCCCAGTTGCCAAAGTTTAAGTTCTTGAAAGCTAACTTTGAGTCTTCCTTCCCTATCCCCGTTAAGTCACTTGAATCCTGTTACTTTTCCCCTCTCATTGGATTCTTAAGTTCAATCCAAACCCTTATTTCTATGCAGGCACCAACAAGTTTCCAAAAAACAAAACCAAACAAAAAACCAACCTTCCAGATTTCAAGAAATTCAACACATAAACACCAGAATAACCACCTAAGTTACCACCTGTTCCCAATGCAGCTGGACTGTCACACTTCTGGGCACCCCTCCCTAACAAATCTGGCCCCTTTCCAACTATCACCACTCCTTCATTTCCTGATTCAAATTCCACAATTCTACTTAAGCTATTCTTACGACTTAACACGCCATACTACCTCAATATTTCTGTTCACATGGTTTTTTGACCTGAATATTTTTCCTGCACTAATCCAGGTATCACCCAATCCTCACAGGCAACTTCATATCCCATCTTCCAAGAAATCATCTCTGACCTCCCTAGTAACTACTGATCTTTCCTCCTGCTCAACTCTCAGAGCACTTATTTTTTGTTACACATCTTGATCTGGCATTTACCTTTTGCAATAATGTCTTCTTGTTTGGCCCACATTATCGCCTCCTCTGTAAAACCTGCCTTGAACTCTTTATCTTCCCCAACAAATACGCTCCTCCTCCAGTCCTTCCCATCTCAATAAATGCCACATCCACCTATTCAGTTACTCAAGCCAGGAAACCGGATGTCATCCTTTCCTTAATGCCCTAACCACTCTTCTAGTCACACTTCCAACTTCCGTTTATTCTGTCTTTGAAATTGATATCCATTCTGTCCACATTTCTTTACCTCCATCGGTATCACTGAAGGTCAACCCATAATTATCCCTCCCTAAAATCACAGCAAGAGCCACTTCTGTGTGCGCCTCTTTTCTACCCTTCACTGGTTCCCAGAGCATTTAGAATTCAACCCAAAATCTCTAGTAAGGCTGGTAAGATCCTGCGCGGTCTTGGCTCTTGTCTTCTCCAGCCTCGTCTCACCCTTGCCCTAGTTGATGCTCTCTTGCCGTACTGGCCTTCCAGCTAGAACTAACCAAGGTTTTTTTCCTGATGCCTTTACTTAAGCAGCAGGCACAGACGCATACTCATTTTCTAGGTCTCACGGTAAATATCTTACTCCCTGATTCTGTTAGTTTACAAGTTTATCTTCTGCCTCTAAATCCTGACCATATCCTCTCACAGCAGTGTTTTTACTTGTCATTTATCACAACTTGACCTGTTTATTTGTTTAATGTCTGTCTGCCCTACTTGACTGCAAGTGCATGAGGGCAAGAACTGTCAGTTTGGCTCTCCACTATAAACCCCACTATGTCTGGCATGCAGATGCCCCACGAATATGAATGTTGCTTGTACATATTTCTATTACTACCCTTATCACACTGTTCTGTAATTATGTTTACACGGCCTCCCTACTAAACAGTAGAAGGCTTTGTATCCCTAGGACACAGCATGGAATTCAGGAAATGTTTAATGAATTGTTCAACTAAACTGTAAGCCTCTCAAGAGCAGGAACCATTTTTAAAAAATACTTTTGTCATCTAACATGATTACGTGTATTAGGCATTCATCATGATGCCATCAGCTTGGTAGAAAACCTCAATTTCACTTCATCCACACGGACTAGCAAAAACAACTTAAATGCCAATTCTGCTTCTATGAAAAGTCCTTGTCATGTATTTGAAAGCTTACAAATACTACTGATTTGTGGGTGCAAACATAGGGGAGACCAGAGAGTTTAAATGAGGACAGCTAAACATTTCCTGTTAGAATAAAGTACAGACTAATCATCAAAATTCTTACTTCAATTTTTCTTATTATGTCACATAATCCTCCTGTGTAACATCTGATAGAGTACAATGTGGGCAAACACTCAGAATCCAATGGGAAGGGACAACTGTAAAGTATTTTTGGATTAATGATCGGCAGATAAATCTGCCTTGGGGAGCAGTTAGGAGTCATTAGAGGTGGAATCAGATTTCAAGTGTTCTTGGCAATCAGGGCTGAGCGAGATCATGAGCCTGACAGACCACAGACCACACACATAGCCTTTCTTTGGCGGGTGGAAATGGGGATGGGGATGCAGATAAGAATACTTTGTCACAGCACCGTTATTCACGGCCTTAGGATAATTATAAATGACATATTTGGTTCTTATTCTTTTAAATCCACATCCACTGAAATACCTTACTTACCTGTCAGAGCCCATCCCTGGAGGCTGGCTAATCCCTAAATTCCCAAAGCCTGGGTTCATGCTTCCAGTTTGAGAAGGCAAGCACTCCCCCCTTCCCTCAATGAATCTGAAGTCCCTGTGCAACAAAACTACTCATTTCCCCTCAGTTGCTTCAGGGTAAAAACGTAGAAGAGATATTCACAAGGGGGAAAAGAACCAAAGGAGTGGTGGAAGTAGGGATAGAGAAGACAATAATTCTCTAAAACGAAAAGGCAAAGCTTTTTTCCCATTCTCCAAAAGATGAGCAGTATAGCAGACTGCTGTTCTTCTGAAGACAAGAACAAAACAAAAAACCCTTTAGGGTCACTTTGGGAGCCAAACAAAGAGCTCCCCCAGGACAAAAGGGCTCCAGGGGCTCCTGCTGCTGGCCCCAACATCTTTACTGAGCAAGAACCAGCTAACAAAAGGGGGGTGCAGTGTGCAGGAATCAGAGTGCCTCAGGGACAAAGCCTGCTGAATGAGATGCTTGACCTCAGATAACAAGTGGGTTAGAAGTAAATTTCTGGAGTATAATAAGGTTCACAATATCATCCCATGACACCAGAGGTGTTTTACTGGAGACTATAGGCAGCGTACCGCAGGTACCAGGTCACTAGAGGCTGAAAAGAAACTAAACAGTGGTTAAATAAATTTCAGCACTGGAGTTCACAAAGTGAAGCCAGGTGACAAATAAAATTGTTATATATTCCTCTATTCAGCAGGGGAAAAACAGTCAAATGCTCTTTGCCTTGAGAGAAATATAGCCATATCATTTGGAAACATTTGAGAGTAAGGGAGGGATGGGTGAAGGGAAAAGCATGGCTCAGATGGCACGTGCCATGTTTCTGTAGAAGTGCTTTTCTTCCTGGGGACTAAAGGGATGTGGAGAGCGCTCCGCATCTGAGAGCCTCCAGAGTAAGAACCGACAGATGATCATCTTGAAGACTGTGACAAACACTGAGCTTGCCTTTGGCCAGAGACTGAAGCCTCAAGCCCAGGATGGTGTTCTTTGGCCTCAGCTGCACAGAAGGTCAAGGAAGAAGGCCACTGTCCACTGTCCTTTTCTTTGCCAGCATCTCCTTTCTGTTCAATGAAATATTTTCCTTGGGAGGGCCAGCTTTTTTTTTCCTCTTTTTTGTTTTTGCTTCTGAAAAAAAAAAATCCTTCATCAGCTCTTCATATTTCTGTTGTCACAGATACCGTCCACAAATATAATTATCTAAATGGCTGGCTGCTGTGTGATGCTGATCCCCCACCATGATGGCTCCATGCTACTGTCAGAAACGGAGACAATAGGTTTGTGCAGAATTTGGCCATTAGGTCCAGGTAGGATATTGGGCTCAATGAGACGGCACACCTCACGAATCCCAATGTTGTTAACTGCCCATGTTTCTCCCTAGGAAGCACGCTGATGATGTTCTCAAGCACAAATATGACTTTTCTTGTTGATAGAGGTGGCACTTGCTGAGAACTGATGGCTCTTCATCAGTTAGTGCAGAGGTAGTCATGGCCTGGCATCTTTGATTGTGAGGCCCACTTAGCACTAGGGCTGTCCCACACCCAAGGAGCAAGCAGTTATCAAAGGAATTAACACTGTGGATAGGCAGAAATTCTCTTGGGCCATGTAAGAACTCCTCTACAGACAGGTAATTTCTGATGAACCTATCCCGATGACTTTCACCAAAGAGGCACCCAGGCCTATAACATCCTTAACAAAAATATGGGGAAAAAATCTCTGCAGAGCTTTTGATTCAGCCCAGTTAATTCTATTTGCTCTTCCTTAGGTCATATGGAAAGGTTGAGGAAATACAGTCTCACTTGGAAGCCACGTCTGCGTCCGGGTACGCTCCAAGGCTTGGATTGCTAAGGTGGAGAACATCTGAAGCACAACCATAATCATGGTCCAGTCTCTGAAGAAGGACTAAGGCCTAGCACCAGTGCTAGACAGCTTGCTTGGTAACTGTGCAGGATACTCAAAGAAGTAAAATGAGGTGGTCCAAGGGTGAAATGATGAAAATGCAGGCTGAAATGTGATCCAGAGCAGGGATCTCTGATGCAGAGTTCGGTGCTTGGCTGGGCCAATATTGTCAGAATTACACACAGACAGCTGGAGTCACTGGGGAGGCACATTACTGAACAGAGAGCAATGCCAGCAGAACTGTGGCTTACAGAGACATTTGAAGAGGTGATAATCCTGTGAAAACTCCCAAAGATACCTAGGTGTTTTGACACTCAAGGTTCAAGTCCAGCAAAACAAGGTGTTACGAAGGTCTTGCCAGCATGCTTAAAAACAGTTTAAAAGTAGCAGCACTGAACACATAAAATGTAAGGGGTATATCTGCCATAGTACAGTGTTTTTTGGTCCCCCCCACACCCCCCCTGCCCGTGAACCATGTATTTCCTATGGCTGGGAGGCACATACAATGGGTAGGGTTGCCGAATGAAGGCAGTTTGGTTGTTGTCAACGTAACGGTACATTTGGAATTACTTCAAGGCTCTGACTGGAGGGTATGCACCCAAAGGGAGTGCTGTCCAGCGGTCACCTTCAGGGAAACGATTAGCCCTTCCAGGCTAGTCATGCCCTCGTCTTGCCTACTCACTGAACTGTACTTGGTGTATCTTAAGCGAGACTGCACGAGCAGGGGAGTGACCAAAATGTTAATGTTCTATTCTAAATACCATGTTCAATTCATCTGGTTTTAAAAATTTGTATTTTTCAAGGTAGAAAAACTGGGACTCTTTGCTCAGGCTTTAGATGGGGCTCAGAACTGATTGTACTAAATGTGGACATCTCTCTTCTCTGAACCTTATTAAGCATGACTGCATGAAACGTCGTCATGTTAAATAACATGCTGAGGAACCCAGTTAGGGACCTATCACCCAGGGAAGCCTGATTCTTAATGGAATCCGAATTAGCCTCGCTGTCCCTCCTAATGACTGTAAATAAAGCAGGAAGTTATTGCCCAATCCACATCCCAACCAATCTCCTTTTAGAATTTATTTCTAAGGAAAGTGATATTTTAAAAGGTATGTAAAAGTGACACATTTTAAAAGGCCTCTACAATGTTGTTTGTATGTTTTTTGTTTTTTTTGGGGGGAGGAGGGTATTATTAAAAAAAGGAAAAGAGGCACAAAGCTATTTCTTCCATTACAGATGAAATCATGGAGTTGCATTTTAGGTTGGGATGAAATTAATCTTTGAAATTGAATGCCCTGGCAATGGCTATGTTGGATTCCAGGGAAGGTGGTTATTTCCCCAACACTGCCAGTGTTTGTTGAAAGCTACAATCAATTGGGAATGTTAAAAGCATTTGGTTAAGTACCATTAATAGGATGACACAAAATATTCTTCTCAATTCATAGCATGAACAGGAACTACTCTGTATTCTGCAATGTGTCCCCCCACTCCTTTTTTTTGTCTGCACAAACACTCAGACATTATCGAGATTGTAAGCATCATGGGGACAACAGAGTGTGGGGAGGATTTTACCAGTGGAGTCAGTGTCTTTATAGTTACTAATTCCATCCTCCTGGTAAGCTACCTAGTTCAGAAACACACATTAGATAGAGCTCCTTGGAAACTGGATACACACCGTATCTCCTTTCAAACCATTTGGCAACCACAGATTCCAAAGGGAGTCCATTATTTCTGACCATGAGACGCAAACTCTTAGCCACCCATATTCCAGGTTTACTGGGGCAATGAGGTACAATACAGATGGGGCTGTCCAACAACTGCAGATGGCTCGATGCCGCACAGTGGAAGCAGATATATGGAACTGAAGTTCTGCAGGATTCGTTTACGTTCTTCAGGACACTCACACATACTCACAACATCAATCAACAAAGTATTTACCTGCAAGCTGCAGGCATTCCTTATGGTGTTAGGGAGAACAGACAGAATACAACGCATATGCTCACTTCTGCAGTGAGGCAGGGCATCCCCTGCCAGCTAGCTGGAGTGGAGTGTCAGATTCAGCTCGTCTGCGCAGGCCGAGTGCGCACAGAATCCCACTGCAATCGGCAGCATCACCTTGCCTGAGTCTGCTTGAACTCTGCAGATTACACACGTGTAATCTTTTCCTGGTAGCTTGGAACATACACACCCTGCACATCTAGTGAGGGCATATACAGCAAACATACAGCAGCCATTCTTTCTTATAAGTAGGTAACAAAACATAGGTGTTTTTGTCCCAAAGCAGGATAGCTGTATGTTATGTGTAAGTGCTCAGCTGGGTATATCCCCAGGAGACCTGTGGAACAGTACAGACTAGGATTCACTGTACTCAGCAGTGCTTGGTTCATTGCAGGAAATATAGTTTACTGTGGTACGTAGTTTCGGTATGTAGCTTACTGTGGAAAGTTGGCATTTTTACATAGGGACAAAGGCAAAATCCATACTAAGTATCCACTTGGGCTATGAAGAGACACCAGATATGAAATACATCATATCTGTCTTCATTCCACACAAAACTGCACACACTGCATCCACTTGTGTGCTGTTATGGGGCCACTGTGTACACAATATACTCATCTTTGGTATAAATGGTAACATTAATAAGGCTCTTCTTTGAGAGAAGGGGCCAATTGAATGCATGTCTCCAGGGTCCACCATGAGGACTATCTCTTTTGTATATACTGGAAGAAAGAATATGTTGGGGAAATGCCTTCATTTCCAGGAAAGCTAAGAAAAAGGGAGACTTTTGAGAGGTGGGGTGTTTTTGCCCTTTTTATTTCCCCTCAGTAGGTAACCCAAGCAAGCGAGCAAACAGGGGATCTGCAGCACAGGCACAGCAGCAATCTCTCAAGCAGCACTTTCCGTAAACCTGGGTTATCATCTGGACCGGCAGCCATTTGGAATGAAGAGTCGAATCTCTGCTGCCTGCTGCACTGCAGCATGGCACACACCAGCGACCCTGGGACACTCCTCCTGCCGTGGAGGCTCCCATTGACACGTGGGCTGGGGACAGACAGAGGTTTATCCTCTTCCAATCGCCTGCAACTCACGCTGCAAGCTGAACTTGTTGGGTTTGCCACCGAAAACACAAAGCGTCCTCTGCATCTCCTGACGTATGTTTAAAAAAGCAGCAAGGCCCTTCACACATGGTTCATGTTCTTATTGTTTGCTTGAGCGTTTCTGATTTGTTGGGGGGAAGAAAAGACCCTTGATGTACGATGTTGGGCTTAACTCCCCAGAGCCCAACTCTCCCAAGGTAACTCACTGCTTCAGGGTACTTTACCTTCGTGTGGGGCTGGGTCTTGATGGAGCCGTATTCATATTTCTTCTTTCCGCTGCCTTATTAATATCTGAAAAGAATAATCAACCCATCTGTTCAATGCTACGGAATAAAAACAATATCATCAGCACATTTCAAATGAAAGCAACAACAAAAAAACTACAATGACAACCAGATGGTGTAAGAAAATCCATTCAGCAGACACACTGTCACTTGGGCAATTTTTATTAAGTTACGGCAGTACATTGTTATGGCTTGGTAAGGAATGTACTTCAGTTTTCTAGTGAACACATAATTCATGTAAAACAGATTACGTCAATGCATTAACACTGCTCCACGCTCTAAACCTAACACCTGCCCCCTCCGAAAGGGGAAAAGGTTATTTTCTAAACTATTGGGAGAGCCAGCTGTAAGATTCTTTTTTGAAGGGAGAAAAGTGGGAGAAAGGTAAGGAGAGAGAGTGTTAAAAAAAAGAGCAAAGGCAAATACTTCCATTTTATGTTAAAAAGTAAAAGCTGGACTCCATTGTCTCAAAAGTTCCAATATTCCATGAAGCAGGGCCTCCTTTCAGTGTGCCTTGCACTGTATTCCAGTGGACAGAATCTTTTGGAATGAGGTGTAGGAAAGAAATGGATTAATTTTTTTTTTAAACAAAGTATATGACATGTTAACATCTATAACCCTCACAGATAAGTACCTAAGAATAAGAAGTGGCATTTGGTATAGTAGGGTTAGGTAATAAAACACTTCTCATAACAAGTTTTCATCAGAGAGGCCTGGAGTATACAACTAGGTAAGGGAGAACAGTGGAACCATATAAAACTTATAGAAAAGCCAATTTGTGAAATTAAAGCCTGCTTGCTGAAGACAAAACAAACCAGCTTTGCAAAAATTGAAGTGAATATAAAGACACCATGTACAAATAAGAATTGAAGTATCTAAAGAAATGTGATAATCTATGCCCAAAGATAACACCTGATAATTTTATATGGCTCAAAGATACATAAATGCATTAAAAGTTTCATACTTTAGTTGAGAGAAATAAAACTGCTTCCTGCTGCAGTGTAGTCTGTTCCCCTTGTTCCATATTAAGCAAATGATATTGTGTCTAATGACATTTAATGGTATTAAGCACATACATAATTAGAGTGCTTTAAAATAGTAATTATGTATTTTAAAAATTCCAACTAGAATCCTATCACGTGAAAGACCACAGTAAAACTTAACAGGTCTGGTATAGCCTTTATCCTGCTACGTTGTCAACTTTTGAGTTCCTGTTCAAGTGAGGATGATCTTCAACCCCATTTTAAGTCTGAAGTCTCTTTCTATTATGCCTAGGAGAAGAATGTCTTTTGACAAAACTGAAAGTTACATAACCTAAATAGTCAGAGCAGCATATTTTAAGTTGCCTCTTACCTTTTCAATTAAGCAGACACAAGTTATAATCCTTTTATTTTATTTTTTTCCCTACGCCGTCGCCGGCGACTCACGGTAGCCCAGCTCCAGGTCGAGCTGTTGTTCAGCATCTTAGCTGTAGAGGGCAGTGTCACTGGCCCTCATATGTGGGATCCGAACCGGGGACCTCTGGCGTCCCAAGCCAGTTCTTAACCATCGCGCCACTCGGCCGGCCCATAATCCCTTTATTTTTAAACAATCAGGAAATATTTTCTATGTGGGACTTGGCCAGTAATATCTGACCATGGCTTTGGTACTTACTGCACATGGCATTTTCACAATTTACAACCCTTAAAATTCACTAACATCTGAATTACATATTATATAATGTTAGGCCCTACAGTTAATACCTAGTGCTTTTATACATAATTGTGACTATCAATTCATGTTTAGAAGGGCCTACTGACCTAATCTGCTCACTTACTTTGTACTGCTTTCTAATATAGGGTGACTATGATTCAGAGAGAAATGTGATGTCCTTGATTATTTAAGTAGTTTTCAAAGTATCTGTGGAATACACTGGTGGTGGTGCAAAGATTTCTCTCAAATAAGTACCACATTTTCCAGCAGGATTCCATTTATTATTATATAAACTTGTGATTAAAGAACATTCGTCTCAACACTGACTTGACCTGGCTAACATTTATGTGAGAGTACAGACATATGGTATTACTTGAATTAGTTTCTATTAATGCTATTGGGTTGCTAGAAAAGTCGCATTTTTGCAACAAAAAACACAGAAAGAATACGTCATGTCTTTTCCGACAACCTAATACATAATTTGCCCTCATTATATGAAAAGGACTATTACACTGCATAATTATTGGGTTGTCGGAAAAGTCATGATGTATTTTTTCTATGTTTTTTGTTGCAAAAATGCGTCATGACTTTTCCGACAACCCAATATATCCAGTTCTGTGAGTGCTTACACATAGGACTGGGGAGACCACAGTAGTCATATATTATATACCTTTGGGTCAAAGCTGGTTCTAGTTAGAATGAAGGAGGTAAATAGTTTACTTTGAAGTTGGTGAAATTTTTGGGCAATTATTTGAAAGATTACTTAAAAATTCAAGATTATATCTTTAAACCATTTTGATAGTAATTTGCCTCCTACTATCTATTTTCATTGAACAATCCAGAACAATTGTATTTGGATGGTGTGACTTACATGTCTTCTGCAAAAAAAGAGAACGCTCAGATCATTTTCTCAAGTTAAGGGGTTAGCAGACTTTTAGTGTGGTAGTCAAATGTTTTTTGTTTTTTTTTTTACCCCTATTTCACAGTTCCTTAAATCTTCATTTTGGGTGAGATATGGAGAAAATGAGACCTGGAAATTTTCGATAGTATCACTGCCATCCAAGAGGAATGCTCAGGTTAAGATAGGGTTTGGGGCTTTTCAGAGAGTTATGAAAACAAAACAGTCATCACCACCAATTCCCATAAACAACAAAATCCTAACATACATGCACACAGAACTTTAAAAAAACCTATGAGTTCAGAAATACAAGAATAGAGAAGCTACCACAAGTACAAATAACTTCAGGGAGCTCATTGCAGTATAGCAAAGAATTAGAATCAAGAAAAAAAACCCTTGCCGCATCCCATTTTTTTTGTCATACTATTTGAAAACACATCAATTGGAGGGTCATTTGAGCAAGTTTCTCTTTGAAAATGCAAATATTGGAACTTGTAAAGGGGGCTTTTGCATTAATTAGTTGAATAAGATTACTTTCTTCCTAAATCCTTACAGAGCTATATAATCTACACCAAGGAAACAGAAACAATATTAATGTAAAGGAGAAGGGAAAAAAAGATGGGAAGACAATTTGAAATGCAAGTTTTTTTTTTGTTTTTTTTTTTAGCTGAGCCATCCTGCCACCTGTTGGCAGCTCAGCAGCTGATCAGCTCGGGCTGGACTCGAACCGCTGTTGCTCAGAGCTCAAACTCTTGAGCGAGCTCTTAACCAACTGAGCCACTCGGCCAGCCCGATAGGAAGACAATTTGAGGAACTTTTCTGAACATTAAGTAACCCATAATTTGAGAGAATTTAATCAAGAGGGTAGTGGCAACTTGGGAGTCTCCAAGGAAAGGTGGAATGCCTCCTCTGCATGGAAAAGGGAAGAAATGGTGCTTCTTCCTCCTGCTATATTTTATCCCAGCCCAAAGTCAGTCTCTTAGTGTCTCTTCCATTTAAGCTTGGTTGGCACTTCCATATTTTGTTAGTCATATTAGCATTGTGAATACCATTCAAAATCACCATCACCACGAGGTGCTTAACCTTGGCCTGAATATCTATGATTTGCAAGAGGTCTTCTGAAAACAGTTAAAAGCACTTCTCAAATAAGGATTTTTAGACAAGAAAAACAGCATCAATTGAAGAGATTTACATAAAAGGAAAAAAAAAACCCACGGAAAATAATCTAGAAAACATGATGTTATACAGGAAGTGGCAGAGCTGCTTTAAATCATAAAAGAATGGGGTAAAGAACTCCTAAAGAAAGACACAATGCCTAATCTACAATTTTATTTTATACTAATATGCCAGACAAGGTTCACACAATGGCTCTTGGATAATGCTATAAATAAACATGCGTGGTTCATTCACAGTACCGAGAACTGCTTTGGTCTATCTTTTTAATTGTACCATCATAAAATAATTCTTTTTACCTTAAAACCAATTTTTTATACTCCAAGCTATCGCAATGGAAAACAATGAGGACTATTCTGAACAAGTGTAGTATGAGCCACAGCACTTAGTGACAGAACCACCTGTTGAAAGAATCCAGAAGCCTGTACAATTTCAATAAGTGCTCACAAATGAAACAAAACTCCCCAAAAGGCTTAGCTAAAAACCAACTAACAATCAGGTATCAATCACTATATTGGAAATAAATGATGATAAAGACAATGACACTTGGAAAACCATCCTGACAAGAACAGGACTTCTCACTTAAACTATACTTATGAAGATGACTTTGATGGTATTTTAACAGCAGGGATATTATAACAAGTTATACTGTAACTAGTCAGGGACAAGAGAATGCTCTGCTTTAACCTCTAAGTTCATTTTGAAAACTATGTATTCCCTCATTTTTGATTATCTGTTTCATTCTAATTAAAATAATTATTATATGTTTAACTGTATGAGAATATTATCCCTGGGAACAGAAATGGGGGAAACAATGATAACTTACATTTCCAGAATGCTTACTCCGTTCCAGAGCCTGTACTAAGAACATTATGTGCATTCTCTCATTCAATCCTTTCTACAACTCTTCGGAGTTAAGTGCTATTACGATCTCTATTTTGCAAATGAGGAAATCTTGAGGTTTTGAGAAATTGACTTATCTGAGGCCCCATAATGATCAGGAGGCAGAGCTAGGGCTCAAGCCCAGGTCTGTCTGACACTCGAGTGCTTAAACATTATGTTATGCTGCCTCCAACAGGGAGTGGAAAGACAGTTTCCATTTTTAACACCTGTGCTGGGATTCCCTGATAAAATACTGATGGAACCTGGAAAAGGCCCACTCTACGCTGGTCACTCTGATGGTTCAAGTGCCCCAGACACCTAAGAGGGTAGGGCCTCCCTATTCAATTACCACTTCAATTTCTATCACCTCAAACTACTGGGTTGTTGGAAAAGTCATGACACATTTTTGCAATGAAAAACATAGAAAAAATACGTTATGACTTTCCCAACAACCCAATACAATGTTTCTGGCTTTTGCTTCTGACATTCTATTCCAGCGGTTCTCAACCTGTGGGTCGCGACCCCTTTGGGGGTCGAACGACCCTTTCACAGGGGTCGCCTAAGACCATCGGAAAACAAAAAGATATTTACATTACGATTCATAACAGTAGCACAATTACAGTTATAGAGTAGCAACGAAAATAATTTTATGGTTGGGGGTCACCACAACATGAGGAACTGTATTAAGGGGTTGCGGCATTAGGAAGGTTGAGAACCGTTGTAATATTTGTTTCAACTCTTCAGACAAAAATTCTCTATCAAAATTTTAATTCCTGCGCTTTTTACTTCTTCCAAGGAAAAAGCACTTGGCTGGTATCAGCAAATATGAGTTCTAGTCCTACAAGGGGAGCGGGGAGGATTGGATTTAGTCAAGTCACTTGATTTATCTGAACCT